AACTGTAATCTGCCCAAGGCCACACAAGAAGTTTGTCACATTAACAACTTTGAATTTCTCCCAAACTGTCATGATATTGATGTGAGTTACACCTTTCTAACTAAGAGCAGAATTGTAGCATTAGAGGGGAATTCGTCCCTCTGCTGGTACAGAGATCACACAGGGACCAAGAGGGGAGGTTTTGCACCTACCCAGTGCTGGGGCTGCATGAGCCCTCACAGCAGGTTGTGGAAACTGGAGAGCTGTGCCCGCTCCGGCCATAATTCGTTTGGGCACTGCACTAGCAGGGATTCACTGGGGCATAGTGATGTCCATTGCACCCAGGGCTGCTGCTGCAGAAGAGCAAAGCTCATATACTTGGTACTACACCTGCCTTGTGGTTGGGCAAATTCACCATGGGGGACCCTGTAGTTGCTTTGTTGCTACTTTATGCCAACAGAGCACTTGTCCAAGGACAATCAACATGTGGTCAGCAGACATCAGGCTAGTCACATAGTGCTAACTCTGCTCTTTGTTTCCACCTATTTAAGACAGCTAAAATATTTAATATTTCATGTAAATAGTTACTATAGCTGTGTCAAGAATGTTATATGGCTATGAACAGACGGAGAGATGGTCTGTATGGTTGTGAATTGAAGAGAAGGCCACCCACAAAACCCTCTCTCTTCACTGAGATGCAGTCCACACTAGGAAAAAGTTTGAGAACTTTTGAGCCAGGGGAGGTGCAGGGAACTGTGACATTGTTCTGATTGAAATTGTGTAAGTATTGTAGCTATATATTATTTGGATGACTGCTGAAATAATTTTATCATGCAGAGGTTTGGAGGATGGCGTTTAATAGCAGGACCTTTTTGGTACAATATGTTTGGTCAATGTAATATCCTAAAGCTCTGGTTCTTCAAAATACTGAATGCGTGCCAAGTCCGCATTTGCACACAGACGTACACATATTTTGTAGCTCATCGCTATTTTTTGCAAGCACACAATTGAGTATTATTGCTTTATACCATACTTACACATTCAAACTGATCCAAAGCTCACAGAAGTCAATGGAGACTCCCATTGACCTCAGTAGCCATTGGATCAGACCCCAGCATTGAAAAATCTTGGGAGATATCTTACTTGTAAGTCAAGACGATATTTCTACATATTTTTTATTTCTTTGAAAAATTCCATAGGAGCATGAAGTGCTGATGCAGGGAATTTTTCTTTTCAAAGCAGATGCTGCTGATCCTGTGATAATTTTCTGTTTTAACTGGTAGACTTGTTATCAAGTGTGCTTATGAACAAGGGGGGGAAATAACTGATCCCAACTCTGTAAGGATCTCTTTCTGTAATGTAAAAATATGTTCTTACTTGAATTCCAAGGCCAGATCCAGTTTACATTGACTTCAACAGAAGTTGGTATTTTCCTTTTATGCCCAGACCCCCCCTCACCTGCTACCAGTCTCTCATCAAATCATCCCACCCTCTCCTTCACCCCAAGAATATTTTTTTTTAAATGTGTGGTGGTGGCATTTTGTGAACCTAAAATAGGATGTTAGGTTGGAAATGCTCAGGCAACCTTAGCTACTGGGGATGCTACTACTATACACAGTAGAACACTGCAAATTCCCATTGGGCTGTTTCTGGCTTTTATTCCCAAGACATGGTCAAGGGCAGCAGGGCCCTGTAGATCCTCGCTGAAGCCCAGTCCCTTCACAGGAAAGGAAAATGGAAACTCTAGGTTCAGCCAGTAGGGGGGGATCTGAGCACAGCTAACTTGTTTCCACCGAGGGAGTGTCTACACTGCGAATAAAAACCAATGGGTGGCCTATGCCAGTTGACTCAAGTTCACAAGGCTTGGGCTAAGGGGCTGTTCAATTGCAGTACAGATGTTCAGGCTCATAGTGCAGTCTGGTCTCGGGGACCCTCAAGGTGGGAGGGTCTCAAAGCATTTGCACTGCAATTAAACAGGCCCTTAGCCCGAGCCCCTCAAGCCTGAATCAGCTGGCACAGGCCAGCCACAGGTGTCTAACTGCAGCCTAGATATACCCTAACTGTAAAAGCACCTGTAGCTCCCCCTGCTGTTTGTCTCCAGTCTCACCCATTCATCAGATGAGGCACCACTGCTCTTTAGGATTTGCTGCTTCTTCCTCCCATCTCCTCCTCACTCACCAGGGTGGATAAAAATCAATGTTTTTTTTAAAAAAATCAGATTGTTTTGATAAAATGCTTTTTGAGGGAAAAAACCTATCGAAAGATCGTTTTAATTAAGATACATAATAGCTCAAAGATATTGCATCATGGAATAGGGATTATAAATTCTAATTCTATAGTATTAGAGCATATAGTCATATAATGTTTAAGAAAAAGTTTGTAAATGAGTTCCAATAGTTCATGGATTCGGGACCCAACGTTATGGGGTTCCAGGGGCTTCTGTATAGATTTAGGTTAATCTTTCTATCTACCCAGTGGAACTCAGTGCTCAGTCTAGAAGATACCACCAGAGATGCTTAGTTTTGCAGTTCTCCAGAGATAACATGCTTGTTAACAGCAAAAAATGTTTGTTTTTAAATATATAGAGGTGAGAAATAACAGACCTCAACACTATTGTCCCTCTGCAAATTTGGGTACACAGAGTCATCCCTTATTTCCCTCTAAAAGTGCAAAGTTTCAAAAAGTTCAAACATAGAAGATTGTTGGGGGCAGAATAAATCTGGACAAGGAGAAGTCTAGAGATGGGAGAAGAGGAGGACAGGCAGTAGAAACAAAAATGAAACTGTTTGAGCAGCATATTCCAGAAGTCTTGAGGTCTTTCTGAGTGTAGCCTTCATTGATTTGAGTTCTACCATACCATTCTCTCACTAGAAGGGAAAACCTATAAAGGCAGCAGGCCGTAAAAGAGACCCAGTTTGGGAATAAGAACCATTCAAGAAATACATATTTGCCAATGATGTTTTAAAGAAAATCACACCAGTGAACTGGTGGAAGTCACTTAAGCACCTAGATTCAGTTGAAGTAATAATCTCACTTTTAACAGCAGTAGCTTCTTCTGCTGGTGTAGAAAGAATATTTTCATCCTTTGGACTAATTCATACCAAACTGAGAAATTGTTTGGGACCTGAAAAAGCAGGAACGCTGGTTTTCCTTTTCCAGATTATGAACAAGCAGGAAAATGAAGGTGAAGACGACTGAGTTAGCTGCAGAAGCCAATATTTTAAGTTTCTCATGTTGACCTGGCTGACATAGTTGATTTAATTTTTTTTAACATATTTCATTTAACTAGTTTAGTTAACAATTTTAACAAAAACAAACCTGACTTTAAAAAACTTGAATGTTTAACTAAATTCAAAAATTCATATGCTTGTTTTGTTAAAATAAAATGTTTGCAGTTGAAGAAAAAAAAATCCAGAATACATAACGTTGTTTTAGTTAAATAAAACAATTTCAATGTCTGTCTGGTGATGTTCTGCTCCTAATACAGCATGGCAAGAAAACCCTCCAAATATTAATGATTAACCTGTTGAATCGGACATACTTAATCTCCCAATGACGTCATAAACATGTTTCAATTACCTTTGGTAAATGAAATAACCAATCATTCATTTTCTGATATAGCTATAAAATTAATCTGAAAAATTTTCAAAATAAATCACTTAAAAATATATAGTGTGTACCTTCTAAAAATGAAACCTACATTTATTTCTGAGTTGTGAAGAACATGTATTAAGGTTATAACAACCGACAAGAATGCACTTTTATGTAGAAATCCGTGATTAAATCGAGTCTTCCTGACTAGTGATTTAAATCAATTTGATTTAAATCAAATCCACCCTGCCACTCCCACTGCTTCCTGAGCAAGGAAGGCAGAAGCTTCACTTTTCCTGCCTCTGTTCTATCTCCCTCACAGCAGCTATAGCTCTTTTCGCAGGGAGAGAGGCTGCGCTGTCTCCTGCAAACTCTTGTCTTGTATCTTGCCTCCCTGCCCTGCTCCCTGGAGTTCTGGACTCCTGGAGCTGCTCCTCCCATCCCCATATTTGAACAGCTTTACTCGGCAGTCATCCCGGTCCCTGCTAGGATCTCTAAAAATGATGTCTCCAGCGTTCCCTCATAGGAGCACAGAACAGCTCACTCTGCGGCCCCCAAGATTTTATGTTAAAAGGTTCCTGAGAAAGCGAGGGTCAGGTTTATAGCAGCACTGTCCAGTGGCAAAGCAATTCTTTTGAAGTTAACATATGCAAATTAAATTGTTAATGGGGTAGCATAAGAGTCCGAATTTACACTCATTAACAAGTTTCACTTCACAGGAGGGACTTTTAAAAGTGGTCTTCATTGGATTTTAAATAACCGTTTTATTGTTTTATGATGTATAAAGGCAAAAAAAATCAAGTTGTTCCCCTTTACTCCACACCATTTTTTAACCTTTGAAATATCAAGCGTGATCTTCCCTGGTTCTCCTGGCAAGACTTGATACGTCTTAGCCAGAGTTGCATCATAATTGAAGTTTGGATGATGCTAAAGCTGGAACAAAGTTCAATTCTCCAAAATACTGGACAGCTATTGGAGTAAAATAGCTATTAGCAGAATTTACCAGTTTGCCTCCCCACCCCCCAATTGTTCAGCTTTCACTAGCTCTCCAGCCATCCAAAGCCTCAACTGCATGAGAAAATTTTAAAGAAGTCCCCAACAGATGCCAGCAGCTGTTCAGCTGAACAGACACTGGTGTAAGTGGGAGCCATAGCATACACGTGACTAACATCAGCTGTTTTGTGCACTGTATTAAATGGTGGAAGCAACCTGAGCCTTGACTACACTAGGTCTTTCCACAAGTAAGGTTCCTTAATGGAGCTATGGCCACAATATTAAAAAATATTAAAAATATCTCTTCCCAAGCAGATGAGATGAAAAATTCTCCCATGCCTTCTTCATAAGTGAGAAGTAAGAGGGAAACATACCCCATTTTTTCCCTTCATAGATGACTTGTGAAGTAGCTACGTTCAAAAGAGTCAGACAAGAGCTAAAGAGAATATTTTATTTATAAACTTTAATTTGGCTTTAGAATTTGAAACGGATTGGGTTGTAATATAATAAACTATTTTTTTATTTACATAAGGCATCAAATTGCCCCTTTTAAACAAAAGGATTAGTTTCCCTTATACCAATACTACGGTGCAAGTAATGTGTCACATTTAATAGAATACTGGTACACTTCTTCCAAACAAGTATCTATAGTTCAGTGTACAAAGATTAAAACCCAAACTTAAGATTCTAGCAAAATCTGCTTAATGTATCATTCTGCAGAACAAAGACAAAAATTAAGGCCTGTTTGTGTCACATTGCTGAACAATCATGCACCAGAATGAATAAAGACTACGATTCCAACTGGACAGGGCATAAAAAAAGCATATATAAGCTCAGGGTGGCCAACCTGACCCTGAGAAGGAGCCAGAATTTACCAATGTACATTGCCAAAAGCCACAGTAATATGACAGCAGTCCCCCACATCAGCTCCCCACACCCACTGCTTCCCAGCCACCAGCAGCCCCGCCAATCAGCGCCTCCCCCTCCCTCCCCACACCTCCTGATCAGCTGTTTTGTGGCATGCAGGAGGCTCAGGAGGGGGGAGGAGGAGTGAGGGCACGGCAGGCTCAGGGGAGGGGACGGGAAGGGGTGGAGTGGGGGCAGGGCCTGTGGCAGAGCCGGGGTTGAGCAGTGAGCACCCCCCAGCACACTGGAAAGTTGGCACCTGTAGCTCCAGCCGTGGAATCGGTGCCTAGACAAGGAGCCGCATATTAACTTCTGAAGAGCCGCATGTGGCTCTCACACCACAGGTTGGCCACCCCTGTATAAGCCCATTCTCTTAGTCTGCATCAAATATACTATTTGGCAAGATCACTCAGATTTTGGAAGCTTTTGGGTGAGGACAGAGAGGAAAAATAGATAAAGAGCCATAAAATTGCCCTGCCTATAGAATTTTACATGAGTGTTTACACACCCCTAATGACCAAATGTACAAACCTTATGGTTTTAAAGAGGGGACAAAACAAGAATACAGTTAGCCTTCATCAAGAAATTTTTGGAAGGGTGTAAGGTATAGTTGGGTTGGTATTTGTTCTTACAGATTTCATGTGAAACACTTCTTTAAACAGTGAACTCCAGCTTCACAAGCAAGTAGAACATAAACAATGAACTAAGTCTCTGTTTAACAGATTCACTTTTATTTATAAAAAATGGTAAACTTGTACTAATTTCCTGCCTGATGAAATTATTCCTGAGTTTTAGATGACTGCCGAGGCACAGCAGATAAAACTCTGAAAATTTAGTTACGAAAATTTTTTGCAAGTCAGGTTTATCAGTACTGTACATTGTTCAGCAGCCTTCAGTCATCAATAAACGTTAATCTTCCAGGTCCTTCATTCCTCATCCACCGCCTATATCTCTTCCATCGGGGATCCATAGCCATTTTCTTCTTTAGCTCTTCCTCTTGTTCTTGCTTGTAGACCTGGATAGGAGAAAGAAAAAGTGACTTTAAATAAAGCCCAAGAAAAAGTCAGCCCTCAAGGAGAGCCTCATACTAGAGGCAAGAGCTATTTCAGCTATTACAATGAATCAAACTGCTGACTTTTTTTTTTTTTTTTTAAACCACACACTCCAGGTTTCTACACAAGAGTCAGATCAGTCTCAGATTGCTGGTGGGATGCAGAATTTGGCCCATAGCTCCATTAACTTCAGTTGAGTTACTTTGGATTTAGGGTCAATGGAGGTGTAAGAGCAGAATTTGGCTTTATCTCAAATTTATTAAGCAATTACAAGAATGCATTGTAAAACACACAGGAACTTCAGCTAAAAGATGCCTGCTTGTGCAGGAGACCGTACTATTCACAGCAACAAAGATAGGCAATACTCAGGACACTAAGCAAACCCTTTACTATACAGGAAATATTAAATGTAGTAGCTAGATTCACAGGCTTAACTGTTTCCTCCAGTTGTTTTCATACTTGTGTCCTTCTGTAGTCAAGACTAATGAGACAAATTTTGGAATGTGGTTAACTCTGATGATTTTTTTATTTTTTATCTGTCTAGCTGTGGAAGTAAATGCTTTTATCACCACATTTGATGCATTAGGATTAGAATTCTAACTGGATATTTTAATTGCCAGGAAATTCTAAGCAAATGCTGATAGCTATTTCTGGGGGGGTGGGAAGCACTAGTTCAACACTCTAATCTTTAAAATATAATATCCTCAGAGGATACAACAGTACTAAAACAGACAAGTTTCAAAGGACCAGTAAATGTTGGGTCTAGACTACAAATTTCCCCTCCATTACTTTATGAGAAAGCCACCATGCCATGTGGAAGTCACCTGTACAGTTAATTTCCCCATTATCAAGACTTCACAAACTTTTTCAAGCCTTATCTAGGTTTGAAATTTGGCACCACTGTTACTAGAAAGAGGCTAGGAACTGAAAGAATCACAGTAATACAGTCAATAGGGCTGATCTCCAACAGTGGATAATTGCAGGGTGTCTCAATGGTAACTGAAGTTTTTCTGCACAAGAGATTTGAAGAACTCTGCACCCTAGACTGGCTAACTGTAGACACTATGTGGCACACAGTATTACAAAATACGAAGTACTGCTCTCAATAGTCATAAGATCATCACAGCAACACAGTAAGGCAGAAAACTTTTAAATACAGATTTACTGTGCTAAAGAACTATAAGGGCTCCTAATGTGTTCTCACTTACAAATTCCTTGGGACAAGGATAATCCTTCACTTGCGTCTTGTACAACAACAAGGAGAGTCAGTACTTAAATCAAAGTAATAGGCTCTGGAACATCCCCAGGACCAGAGCACAGAACTTGTGTATTCTGTGGAGTCTGATCTGGAGCAATGGAGCACCATACTTGAATAAAATAGCCACTGCCCAGCAAGAAGTATGTCAGACCCTGGATTACCAAAAGTCAGAGGAACTACTGAACGGTAAAGAGGGCAGAGTCAGGAACTAGCTGAATTGGTAGAGTGATAAAAAACAAAACAAAAAAAACAAACAAACAGTTACTTTGGAGCAGGGGTTCTCAAACTGGGGATTGGGACCCCTCAGGGGGTCGCGAGGTTATTACATGGGGAGTTGCAAACTGTCAACCTCCACCCCAATCCCCGATTTGCTCCAGCATTTATAATGGTGGTGTTAAAAAAGTGTTTTTAAATTTATAAGTGGGGGTTGCTTGCCTTGTGAAAGGAGTCATCAGTACAAAAGTTTTACGAACCACTGCTTTGGAGGGTTTATGGGAGCATTCCCAGGTGCACTGTTTGAAAGATCCAATCTCACCACTCTGCTGTGCTATTCTAGCACATTAACAGATGAGCAAAGACTGTCTTTGGTCAGAAAACCTGAATCTCATTGCCAAAAATCTCTATCTTAATGAGTGATATCTAGAAATGAATCATAGCCTTACATGCAGCACAACCACAATAGATACCATGGGAGAACACCAGATTTTTAGGCTGGGTAAATTGGGCATTTAACGTTAATTTTCACAACATGCCAAAACTACTCACCTCATAGTTCTCTCCTATCCATAGCTGCCGTTCCAGAAAAGTCTCTTTCTGATTATCTTCCAGACTGTCAAACTGAGACTGTGACATTTTCATGTATCTGCGTATGATATACAGCTTCTCTTCCTCACCATATTCTTGCCCTTTAATATTAAAACAGTAAATCCACCAACAATACCAAGCTATATACTTGCACAAGTAAAAAGGAGCTAAGAGGATTTGAAATAGAAGGATATCGTATATTTTAGGCTTCTGATAGCCGCCTTTTATATCTATTTTATTTTTGATAATGTCTTTGATTATTTCTTCCTCTTCCTCACGGATTTCTTCCTTAGACCGTCTGTTTTTGCCTTTTTCTTTAGCCCTGTTCAGTAGGCCTTGTTGCCTGGCAATCTCAGATGCTTGTATACGATATTTTGGCACTGTAGCTAGGTAGTTGATGGCCTCATTGTAGCTACTCCACCAGCTGAAGAACTAAAATATAAAATAGTAATAGCTTGTTAGTTCCAGCAGTAGCTTTAACAAAGAAAACAGAACATAAGAAAATCCACTACCTCTGTTACATAATAATCATATTTAGTAAAAGAGGTAGTATCCCCAGTTTATAGATGCAGAGGGGTGAACTGACTTGCCCAAGGTCTTAGAGCAAGTCAGTAGCAACACCCATGTAAAAACATCCCTGCCCTGAAAGGGTCATCTGTGGGGATTGAAAAGACTGAAGTGTGATTTTCCTGCCTAAACTGAAGGACCAGGTCCCCTTGGCTTAACACCAGTTGCAGACACAAACCTTTTTGTGGGCCAGCTACTGGATGGGGAACAAATGCCACAATGTGTTAGCATTGTTAAACCCAGGATTAGAACTCTCTACTTCTTGGGCTCCAACCCTGTGCTCATTCCGCTAAAGAAAACATATTTCACAATCTAGAATGTACAAGGAAAAGAAGAATCTGATAACATTTCATTTCATTCTTTTTAATGAGACAGGTAGAGTGAGTTTACGACAGTTCTAAGATAGTGCAGGATTAATTTTCATAATCATTTATTATATCAGATGGAAGTTATTTTCATACTGAAGGATTATCCTGTGGATTACATTAGCAACCTTCCCTGCTGATTTTCTCTGTCTCAGTGACAGGTTTACTAACGAAACCCAGTATACTAGCAACTGTTATGTTTATTCTTACAGAGATACAAAGAAATTACAGAGCAATGGGGGAAAGCTTGTAGGACATATTCAAGAAACTAATTTACCAGAAGCATCATGTCTTGCTACAGAATATGACAATAGTTAAGAAAATGCTTCTCTTCCTTACTTAAGCACTGTGGGGTTCAGCTGCTTATACATTTGTTTGATTAATGTGCAGAATTTCTTTACTCATTAAATACTGCCACAAGCAATGATGGCACAATAGGGAATATATTTTGAGTTTGCTGCTTGACAGAAATTCTATACTTGTCCAGTACAACAGAACTCTATTATGGTGAGATCATTTCTCCCACATACGAACATCACTATCAGCAGAAGTTTGATACAAATGGAATTATAGTTTTCAAACTTCAATTCATTAAATAATTTGGGACCTTAATTCTAATTCTCCAGTTCAGTATCAGGAGATTTCCCCACAGTAGCTAGTCCACATTCTGGTATTACAGGTCTATAAGTTACTGTTTAGATTGGCACACAATATATCTTAGCTTAAAATGTCACGTTAAACTTTTGCAGTGTTTTGTACTAGACAAAAATGTTCTTAAAGATTTTTAATTATCTTGGATTTGCAACTAAAGCAGTAGTACAGTACATCATAAGTGGCACTAACCCTTTTAAATGGTTAAACAAACAGTTTATGTAGGGCAATCTTATTAGCTTGACAGGATTTGCTTTATGAGACTCAATCCTCCTCCATCTCTTGCTTCATTCTGGAGTTAGGAGGGGACAACAGACAAAACAAGGATAGCAAGATGAGAAAAAACAACCTTTTCTTTGCCTAATTCACCCAAATAGTTACCAAAGTCTTACTGGGGCAACACTTCCTTAGTGAAAGATGTGAAGTGCAACTTATGGAAAGATCAACTCTTGCATTAAGGCAATAGCTATAGCAGAGGCAGTAGAGAGCCAAAGAAAGCCAAATGGATTTAGACTTCAGATTTTACTATTTCCAGTTTAGAAAATTTCAGGCAAAAACTAATCTCCCCATTTATACCCAAGAAAAAGAAGGAGAGACAGGTGCAACTTTGCCATCAGAACCAAGTGGACTTGAGGAGAAGTAGAATATGCATAAGCCTTTAGGGATCTACCAGTTCAAGTGCACACAGCTTGGAGGGCAAGAACTCTAGGACAGCTACTGATCTGTAGATGGTGCCATAAGCATTAAGGAATCAAAAGCCCCTAGTTGGGTTATTTGGGGGAAAATGCTTTGACACATATCTGGACCATTAGATAGCAAGGTTCAATAATTTCTTCAGCTACAGAATATTAACTATTGGACATTTTATCTTTTATAAAAGTCTTGAACAAGTAACTCCAATATATGTAATGTTAAGTGTTAAAGAAAAGAGTTAAAAATTTTATTCTATTTAAACAATTGTTCAAAGATGTATACAAAGTTATTACCTTATCCAAAACACAATATTTACAAATTTCCATACAGCAAAATACATGCATTTTAAGAGCAAGACTTCATTGATCAATGCTAATTCTTATTTTAATGGCTAATATGAAATCAGGAGCACGATAATTGTTTTAATACATCAGTCATTATGAACATTCTTTCAAGAAGAATTTCAAAATTAGCTTCTTAAAACACTAATATAAAAATGAGAAATTGACTCAGTCTAACACTGACAAATAATCTAGCTCCTAATGTGGAGATGGACTGTTCAACCTTTAATTTTCTGAACCACGGAACTAGATTATTTCTCTAGCGGTACAAGATTCTTATCCTTTAAATATATAGTACCAAAAAATCCCCGAACAAACAAGTTAGTACGACTAACTGCCCGGCCATGGTCCAGGATATAGATTTATATGACTGGGCGAATACCTGTCTAGTACACCAGCGACAGTAGACAACACTTAAATAGAAACAGTGGAGCCTTCTAATTGTACAATTAAAGAAAAAAAACTCAGTAACTGACTAATGGTAAAGAAATCTAGATTTCAGATTTTACTATTCTCCAGTTTAGAAATTCAATATAAGAATAGTCATAATAAGCATAAATATTTTACCTGAAACACGGAGATAGCACATACAGTGACTAGAATCACTATTCTGACGTCCACTTTAGGTGCCAATCTCCTGCTGTAATAGTGATAATAATGGCTGTAATACTCTTCAGGATGATCCAACATATAGTCATAATCTTTACGTGTTTCTTCATCCTGGCAAGAAAACAGTTAAAATAAAATTTTGTAGGTTCGTATCCTTAAGCTTTTAATCAGTGTCACAGAACATTTCATAAGATGGCTTGGTAGTAAAGTGATTTTTATTTACCAAAATTACTTTAGTGTTACATCATTAACCACAAAACTGTTGTCAAATCTGTGTTAGCCCAATTTCTATATGGAAGATACAGAACTTCAATTTTTAATATTCAGTAGTAAGCTTCTGTTTTCCAGGCATTATGAAAATTCTTCAGATCTTTTCCTGTACTCTGGTAATCTAAACGGATTTATTCTAAAACATATATGTAGCTCTGACTGAATAATGCATACTTGGCCTTGTCTGAAGAAATTTCATTTTGAAACAGTTAAGCATTTGACAGTCACATACTAAGCACACAGTATCAGACAGATGGTATTCATTGGTTCTAATCCATGTCATAGTAAATGCAAGGTGAGGTTTTTTGTTTTGTTTTGAAATACACACTCTTAAAATACAGAGTATGTTTTCCAGTTTTTTGGGGGCAGTCTAATATTAAATGCACCAAGTGACTGGGCTGCTACCATTTCCTTTGGGAGATTTCCATGGCCCAACGGATCTCACTTTTAGCTTAAGCATCTCATCTCTGAATTACGTTTAGTCTTAGTTATACCGTTTGTGCCATCCCGCATAATTCTCTTCTTTCTCCAGTAAAATATCTGTAGATTACACTCCTTATCCCTTAGCTGAGGCTAAGCCCAGCTACACCTATTTGGCCATTATAATCTTTCCTCACAAATCCCTTCAGCCATTCTGATCCTGCATTCATTACTTTGCTCACTGTTTTAAACGAATATGCTTAACTTGAAAAGTCTGGAATGTTACTTTTAAAAGTTGTTGGGTCATTTCACATACTATGCTTGTCCTCCCCAATTCCCGCTGCTAATTTATGAATGATTACATTTTACCCTTTTTTAAAAACTATCTTCCTCTTCCCTACTGCTGGGTAATAAAGCCAAACAGGGGGAAGCAGTGCTGATTCTGCAGTGTTTCCAAAAGCACAAAGTAAACAAACTGTAAAAGTAGATTTTTTCTCTCATCCTTCTTCCAGTTATAAGAATCTCAGACACTACTTGTAACGTTAGTATTAAAAAAAATTCAGAACTGTGATTTTTAAATTGAGAGGATACCTGTATGAACATACCAAATGCAACGATCTAAGCTTCTGGAAGTTGGGCACAGGGGATTAATTTAATTGACTCCAGGGAATATAGTTTGCTACAATTGGAGATGGGGACTATTTCCAGATAAAATACAAGATGTTTATATACCCTTTAGAGCTCTTACACATTTTACTCTACATTGTTCATATTTTTTTTCCTTCAGCAGCAACATTTTACCTTGCCACCCAGTTAGTAGCTTAAAAACTTTAAAGCTAATGATATATAACTCAAATACTGATATAGCAAATGTGTCCACAATAGATCTAGGGAGTTACAGGAGTTACTGGAAGTTTCAACTGAAAGACAGTACAGTAGAACCTCAGTTATGGACACCTCAGGAATAGAGGTTGTCCGTAACTCTGAAGAGGTTACAGACTTCAGGCATACAGGGGGTTGGGGCTGCATCTGCAGGGAGGGGGTTATCAGGGTTCCAGGCAGGGGAGGAAGGGCTTCTGACCCTCAGGGCTTCAGCCCAGCAGCTCTGTTCCTGGCTTCAGCAGGGGGTGGGGGAGATAGGTGGCACCAGTGCTTGGGGCTTAAGCTACACGGGGAGTGCCAGTGCTGAAACCACTGCTCCCCTCGTTGATAAAGGCCGGTGCCCCAGCACCCCCTGCAGGGCTGAAGACCTGAGCCCCTGCCCCCCGCACAGTCTAAAGCCCTGAGCTCTGGTGCTCCTGAGGGTCAGAAGCCCCAAGCGTGCATGTGAGCACGCACATACACACCCCCCTCTGCCAGGGGCCCTGACACGCCCTCCCCCACAACTGCAGTCCCAACCCCCTGTGTGGCTGAAGCCCTGAGCCTCAGGGCTACAGTCCCGAGGCAGTACAGTATTTGCTGTTTTTTTGGTCTACGCTGCTGCCGAATTGATGACTTCTGGTTCCACAGTGTGTCCGGTTGATCGGTAAATCCGTAACTCTGGTGTTCGTATCTTAAAGGTTCTAATGTAGTTTATTTGCAAAACCAGAGCTACCAGTCTGAATATGCCTCATTTTATTGGTAATGGAATGAAGAAGCCTTCCAAAGGGGGAAAAAAGGTGTGGAAGAGACTGTACAGTTTGCAATGCAGGCCTCAAGTAGTACTATTTTTGAGAGAAAACACATTGCTTTTGAGCTTAATAGATAACCCTATTTGCTTTTGCAAGCAAAGATCCTTGAATTTCTCTCAGCAATGGACTCTTCACAAATAAATAATCCATCTGATGCTTGCGTATTTGGATACCCTTCTGAAGTCTGCAGTGTCAATATTGGCAGGAACAAACAAAAACAAAAATTACAAAGTAGTTTCAGTTACAATTAAAAGGGCACTTCCATTCTACCCTTCTGCTTCTGGTTTGTTTCATTTTTGGAACACTTCCCCTTTGGATTGAAATTTTTTATAGTCAATTTCTTAAAAACTATTTCATTAAGTATTCTGTAAGTGTATAGAACAAGGAAATGAAGTTAAACTACACTGATTTTCCTGACGCTTGTTCAAAGAGTTATGGTTATATCACAATTTTAACTCTGTACTGCTGAATGCTAGCACTCTATGAGGATTATTATATGGTCACATAGCATATGGCAAAGTGACAAACTGGAAAATACAGTGGAAACAAAGGGCATTTTTCCATAAGAATGGCCATACTGGGTCAGACCAATGCTCCAGCTACCTCGGTATCCTGTCTTCCAACAGTGGCCAGTGCCAGATGCTTCAGAAGGAACAGAACAGGGCAGTTTATCAAGCGATCCATTCCTCATCGTCCAGTCCCTGCTTCTAGCAGCCAGAGGTTTAGCGACACTCAGAACACAGGGTTGCATCCCTGACTGTCTTGGATAATAGCCATATCATCTATGAATTAATCTAATTTTTTTTTTAACCCAGTTCTACTTTTGGCCTTCACAACATCCTCTGGCAACAAGTCCCACAGGTTCACTGTGAGTTGTGTGTCTAGTACTTCCTTATGTTTTAAATCTGCTGCCTATTAATTTCACTGGGTGACCCGTGGGTCTTCTATTATGTGAAGGGGTAAACAACACTTCCTTATTCACTTTCTCAACACCATTCATGATTTTATAGACCTCTATCTTATCTCCCCCTAGCCCCCAATTTGTCTCTTTTCCAAGATGAACAGTCCCAGTCTCTTTCATCTCTCCTCATATGGAAGCTGTTCCATACCCCGAATCATGTACTTTTTCCAATTCTAATATATATTTTTTGAGATGGAGCAACCAAAACTGCACGCAGTATTCAAGGGGTAGCCATACCATGCATTTATATAGTGGCATTATGATGTTTTCTGTCTTATCTATCCCTTTCCTAATTGTTAGATTTTTTTTTTTTTACTGCTGCTGCATATTTAGCAGAGACCTAGCCACAATCACCCCAAGATCACTTTGAGTAGTAACAGCTAATTTAGACCCCATCATTTTGATATATAGTTGGAATTATGTTTTCCAATATGCATTACTTTGCATTTATCAACATTCAATTTCATCTTCTACTTTGTCACGCAGTTTTGTGAGGTCCTTTTTAACTCTTCACAGTCTTGAGTAATTTTGTATCATCTCCAAATTTTGCCACCTCACTGTTTACCCTTTTTCCAGATCGTTTATGAATATGAATAACATCACTGGTCCCAGTACAGATCCTTGAGGAACCCCACTGTTCACCTCTCTCCTCTGTGAAAACTGACCATTTACTCCAACCCTTTGTTTTCTATCTTTTAACCAGTTACTGATCCATGAGAGGACCTACACTCTTATCCTATGACTCCTTACTTTGCTTAAGAACCTTTGGTGAGGGACCCTGTCAAAGGCTTTCTGAAAGTCCAAGTATACTACATCCACTGGATTACTCTCGTGCATACATTTGTTGAACCCTTGAAGAATTCTAATAGATTGGTGATGCAGGATTTCCCTTTTACAAAAAGCAGTGTTGACTCTTTCCCAACATATTGTGTTCATCTGTGTGTCTGATATTCTATTCTTTGCTAGAGTTCAGGGATCCGCAACCTTTGGCATGTGACCCATCGGGGTAAGCCCCTGGCGGACCGGGACGGTTTATTTACCTGCTGCGTCCGCAGGTTTGGCCAATCGCAGCTCCCACTGGCCGCGGTACGCCGCTCCAGGCCAAATGGAGACTGCAGGAAGCGGCGCGGGCCAAGGGATGTGCCGGCTGCCTTTCCTGCAGCCCCCATTGGCCTGGAGCAGCAAACTGTGGCCAGTGGGAGCTGCGATCGGCTGAACCTGCAGATGCAGCAGGTAAACAAACCAGCCCAGCCTGCCAGGGGCTTACCCTGACAGACCACGTGCCAAAGGTTAGCAATCCCTGCTATAGTTTCAACCAATTTGCCTGGTACTGCAGTTAGGTTTAGCACCTTTTGCCCAGCATTGCCTCTGGAGCTTTTTTTAAAAAAAAAATTGGATCACATTAGCTATCTGCTAGTCATCTGGTACAGAGGCTGATTTAAGTGATAGGTTACATACCACAGTTAGTAGTTCTGCATTTTCATATCAGCTCCTTCAGAAATCTTGGGTGAATTCCATCTGGTCTTGGGGACCTATTACTGTTTAATCTATCCATTTGTTACAAAACCTCCTCTTACTGACACCTCGAACTGGGACAGTTCCTCAGATGTGTTACCTAAACAGAATGTCTCAGACGTGGGAATCTCCCTCACATCCTCTGCAGTGAAGACCAAAGCAATCATTTAGCTTCTCCCCAATGATCTTGTCTTCTCTGAGTGCTCCTTTAGCACCTTGATCATCCAGTGGCCTCACTAATTGTTTGGCAGACTAGCTGCTTCCAATGTATTTAAAAAATTGTTACTGTCAGGTTTTGTCTTTCACTAGCTGCTCTTCAAATTCTTTTTTGGGCTGCCTAATTTTACTTTTACACTTCACTTGCCAGAGTTTATATTCCGTTCTATTTTCCTCAGTTGGATTTGACTTCCAATTTTTAAAGCATGTCTTTTGTCTCTAACTACCTCTTTTACTCTGTTTAGCGATGCTGGCATTTTTTTGGTCCTCTTCCTTTTTTTTCCTTCCCTATTTGTGGTACATATATAGCTTGAACATCCATTATGGTATTTTTAAAAGTTTCCATGCAACTTGCAGGTATTTCACTCCTGACTGATCCTTTTAATTTCTATTTAACTAGCCTCCTCATTTTTGTGTAGTTGCCCTTTTTGAAGTTAAATGCTATTGTGGCAGGTTTCTTTGACATTTCTCTCCCACTCCACACACAAGGATTCATAGATTCATAGATGGTTAGGATTGGAAGGGACCTTAGGAGGTCATCTAGTCCAACCCCCTGCTTGAAGCAGGACCAATCCCCAATTTTTGCCCCAGATCCCTAAATGACCCCCTCAAGGATTGAACTCACAACCCTGGGTTTAGCAGGCCAATGGTCAAACCACTGAGCTGTTAAATTTAATTTTTCTCTCCGGTGTTCCTCCCGTAAGATTATAAAATGACAGCTATATTGGAATGTCTAAAATGCACCTTTTTCTATAGCCTTCAGATACAAAATGTTATACTTTGCACTATAGCGTAACCCCATTTATCCAAAGTGTTTAGGGGTCATCCAAATAGATTGTTACTTATTTGATCTTTTGTGGTGAATTTATATGGGCTGGGGGGGAAAAAGAGAAAATGGAGAGTCTTCACTCCCAGCTGCACAGATTAATCATTTGTTGAGAAAGCAAAGAATGTACAAATACTTATGATGAATCTCCTATTACAAGAAATTATATTAATAGGCTGCTGCAAATAAGATCCAGACAAATCAGCACAAATCATACCCTAAGAGAAAAATACCACAATGCATTCTTCACACATGTACCCTTTCATCCACTAGGTGAGAATATCCTGCCCAGGAAAGAGGAAAAGCATAACTTCTGTAGGAGCTGTACTTCTAGGGATTTCTTCTACTATAGCTGTCACACAGGCAAAAAGAAAAGGAGTACTTGTGGCACCTTAGAGACTAACAAATTTATTTGAGCATAAGCTTTCGTGAGTGAGCTGTAGCTCACGAAAGCTTATGCTCAAATAAATTTGTTAGTCTCTAAAGTGCCACAAGTACTCCTTTTCTTTTTGCGGATACAGACTAACACGGCTGCTACTCTGACACAGGTAAAAGACAGTCATGTATGCAGTTTTCTTCTGTAGATTTCTTTGGGGGGCGGAAGGAGTGATATCTGGATTAATGGAGCTGGCTCCCTCCCCCTAACTCCTCATACTCTGCAGAAGGCAAAATTGGGAACCCTACAGAGTGGGGAGGCAGAAGCAGCACTCATCTTGTATCTACCCATCCCGAAGGCTCTTATCAGCCCAGAGATGTGGAGCGGAGCATGAGGCTTTAAATGTACCCTACAACTAGAAACTAGCCTCCTATGATACCATGTCATCTAGGAGGTAATATCTGCACCAAACATGCACCTGCCTCCTTATTTTACACCCAAGTTTAACTGTACCCCACAAAGCTGTGGGTCCCACTTTTTCATCACTGTAAGTTAGTTATGTATGAAATGCAGAATTGTAAGATACATGTTTTGAAAAGGGTTAGGATGCAAGTGATCTTTACTTTACACAGTTGTGATGTGGTCCCCATACTAACAGCGATTTCAAAAGTGCGATTAATATTAACAAAATGATTCCTCTCTTATTTTACTTTACCTACACTTACTTTTCTCATGTTTCCTCCCAGCCCAGCCCCATCCTTTACATCAATTTACTCTAGTGGAGCCCTAGTCTTCTAGCCACAAAACAGGGCAGCTGCTCTGTCTGCTTCCACCATGTTGCCCCACCCGTTTCTCAGCCCTGACCTGCTGCGACCACAGCTAGTGGACAGTGACTCAGCCCCTCTCTGCTGAGGATGCCAACAAAGATGTGAGTTACTGCCAATTGCAGAGGCTGGATTTTGATACCCGGCCACTGCCCCAGGACCAGACAGGCCTGCTGATGGGAACAGGATCCCCGCCGCAACCAACCGGGGCCGGACCCCAGCTGTGAGCCAAGTCCCAGAGCCACCCGGTCACCATCCCCATACACCTCACTGCGACCCCTGGCACCACCCCGGCCCCTGACCTGGGGCGCTCCCCTCCGGCCTGGGACACACCCCACCTCCTGCACCACCATCTGCCGCCTCCCTCTCACTGCCCTCCTCTCCCCCAGCCCAGCCCAGCCCAGCCCCCTACTCCCTCAGTCTGGGGAACCCCCCCGCCCCCCAGCAAGTGTCACCCCCTGCCCCCACCCTACCGCCCAGGTCCACCCCTTCCCACCACCTACTCCTTCTCCCTCAGCTTTCCCCAGCCTGACCCCTCGGCTGGCGGCCCCCGCAGGGGAGCCCCCACGCCCGCTTCCCCCGCCCGAGGGCTCCCCTCCCGCTCGCCCCCCGCGGTGTCTCTTACCGGAGCGGCTCCGGCCGGGGCAGCGGTCCCGCTCTCTCACCTTGAGGGTCTCGTAGGCGGTGGCGATGAGCAGGAACTTCTCGTGCGCCGTCTGCAGGGTCTCGCCGCCGGGCCCGGCCGGCTCCCCGCGGTGCCGGTCCGGATGGTACTGGCGGGCGAGCTGCCGGTAGGCGCGGGCGATCTCGGCCTTGCCCGCGGCCCGGCTGACGCCCAGCACGTCGTAGCACACCTGCCGCCCGCAGTACAGGCCCTCGATCAGGGCCCGGGCCGGCCGCGGGGCCAGCGCCGCCGCCGCCAGCAGCCACCACAGCAGCCAGCGCCGGCCCCGCGCGCCGCCCCACAGCGCCCGCGCCGCCGCCGCCGCCATGTCCGCCCGAGCAAACCGCCGCGGGCCAGCGCCGCGCACGCGCACTGCCCCTGGGCGGGGCCAAGCCAACGAACGTGGCCATGGGGAGGAGCCGCAGGCTGGAGGAGCTGGCGCGGGGGCGGGGCGGGGCCGCCGCCAGAGGGGAGGAGCCAGGGAAGTAAAGGGGCGGGGTTTGGTGACGAGAGCGGACGGGGCCTGAGGTACGGGGAAGGCGGAACAAAGGGAAGGTTGAGGGCGGAGCCAGATAGGGGCGGGGCTATCAGAAGGAGGCCCTATTGGGTACTGGGAAGTGGGCGGAACCAAGCGAGGGGGTGGAGCCAGGGGGAATCACAACGTGGCTTCCCGATGTGGAGACACGCCCCGCCTCCCGTCCGACGCCTTAGCCGCGGCCAGGTGCCCAGGTGGGCAAAATTCTTCCTCCAGCCCCACTGGGAACTAGGAAGCCCGGTTCCATTCAAGGCTCGTCAGGGGCTGCCCACAAAGCACGCCACACGTTTTGGGGTGATTTGCAAGATCCAGCCGGCCACCCCTTGTAACACTTCCTAACACTGAAAGAAAACACACAAAATTAGGGATCCGCATAGATACTGCCTTATGTAATTTATGGGCAGCCCCGAAGAGAAATTTTGGGGAAATAGGGGACAGCGCCCCACAATGCACTAGTTCTGTACAGTCATACTTTTTTATTACAGCATAGGAGCCCTTTCAGCATTATTGCCTGAAAATAATGTTTTTAAGCAGAACAGATGCTTCTTAATACCCCTATATTGTATATATATAAAAGACATTAGGTACTTCATAAAGGAAACAGGAGGAGTGTTTACCCTCCTGGACAATTTTATTAAAGTGACAGTGTCTTACAGCCTGTTCTCTAGTGAAAGGAAAGTAAATCTCTGACAAATGGAACACCCCTTCACTGGAGTCAGCACAGGAAAAATGGACACAAGCAGTTTCAGAAGCTGTGCCCAAGTCCAAACACATCCACCAAACCTGAATTCTTTCTAGTACATGGTATTTTGCTGGTGAATGGTTCTGTCATCCTGGATGTATCTGCCCTGCAGAGTTAGCTTGAGTCAGAGCAGTCACACTGCAAAATTACACTCAAGTTGCACAGAGTGAGCTGATCAGCAGCACCAAGTGGCTGCATTTCCATTTCATTATTAGCTTGACTGTCCGCAGCACTCAAGCTTTCACCCACACCCCCTGATGGGCCTGCTAGCTGGAGTTTAAAGCACTAACTAACTTAAGCTAGAGACTTTTATGTGTGGACAGGAGTCAGGGTAAGGGCCACACTCAAATTATACCTCCAGCTAACACTGCAGTGAAAGTGAGCCCTAAGACTATGTCTACACTTCCACGGTAAATTGACCTAAGCTACGCAACTCCAGCTATGTTATTCACGTAGCCAGAGTCGACGTAGCTTAGGTTGACTTACCGCGGGGTCCACACTATGCTGGGTCAACGGGAGATACTCTCCTGTCGACTTACCTTACTCTTCTCGTTTGGGGAGCAATCTGCGGTCAATTTGGCAGGTCTTCACTAGTCCCGCTAAATCAGCCCTGGTGCATCGATCCCTGGAGCATCGATCCAGGGGGTAGTGTAGACATAGCCTAAGAGTTAGCAAGATGGTTATTGTGCAAGTTGCTTTCCATACACAAAGGAAAACAGTCATTGGCCAAAAGAGCAGACAACCTTAGGCTATGTCTACACTACAGAGTTTTGTCGACAAAAGTTATTCCACTTTAATTAAATCGCTTTATTTAAACCGCTGTTGGTTGTCCACACTATTCTCCTTGTGTTGGCAGAGCACATCCACAGTAGCAGCTCTTGCATCAACACAGAGAGCAGTGCACTGTGGGTAGCTACCCCACTGTGCAACTGGCTGCAGGGTGCTTTGGGAAGGGTTTGCAATGCCTCATGGGACAGGTACAGCATCACATGATGCAGGTTTCTCAATCCCATATTCCATGGGCATCATACTAGATTACCAGCTGCTTTTCAATTGAAGAGGATGGGGGAGGCGAGAGTGTGTGACAGGGAGTGTGTGTGTGTGGGGGAGTGAGACAAAGTCTAGTGTGTGTTGGGGGAGTGTGTGTATGTGAGAGAGAGTGTGTGTTGGGGAAGAGTGAGCGTGTCAGCAGCATGCTGTCTCTTTAAGTTCAGACAGGTTTCAGAGGAACAGCCGTGTTAGTCTGTATTCGCAAAAAGAAAAGGAGTACTTGTGGCACCTTAGAGACTAACCAATTTATTTGAGCATGAGCTTTGGTGAGCTACAGCTCACTTCATCAGATGCATACCGTGGAAACTGCAGCAGACTTTATATATACACAGAGAATATGAAACAATACCTCCTCCCACCCCACTGTCCTGCTGGTAATAGCTTATCTAAAGTGATCATCAGGTGGGCACCTGATGATCACTTTAGATAAGCTATTACCAGCAGGACAGTGGGGTGGGAGGAGGTATTGTTTCATATTCTCTGTGTCTATATAAAGTCTGCTGCAGTTTCCACGGTACCATCTGATGAAGTGAGCTGTAGCTCACGAAAGCTCATGCTCAAATAAATTGGTTAGTCTCTAAGGTCCACAAGTACTCCTTTTCTTTTAAGTTCAGACAGTGGCCAGAAGCAACCGTCCTGAGGCAGGGGACACCCCCTATCAGCCATCGCCCCCTCCCTGACTATAACGGGTTCAAAAGGGAGCTAGATAGATTCATGGAAGATAGATCCATCAATGGCTATTAGCCAGGATGGGCAGGAAAGGTGTCCCTAGCCTCTGTTTGTCAGAAGCTGGGATTGGGTGACAGGGATGGATCACTTGATGATAACCTGTCTGTTCATTCCCTCTGGGGCACCTGGCATTGGCCACTGTCAGAGGACAGGATACTGGGCTTGATGGATCTTTGGTCTGACCCAGTATGGCCGTTCTTATGGCTCTCCACGGAACAGCAGTCCTTCCGCATCCCCCCGCCCCCCACTCCCCAGCGCAGCCTGCCTGCTCTATGTTCCTATTGCCCTGGGAGGCAGGATTTCAGGTCAATGATTTGCTGTTTTGCAACCACTGCTCAGCTGTCAAAATTTCCTGGAGCTTTGAAAGGGGAGGGTGCATGCATAGCTGTATGCAGTGCAGCCAAGTTCAAAGCAGTGAGCAGTCACGGTGGACACTGTGATACTGGGGAGGCCAGTTATAGCAACATAACGAAATGGCAGTGTCTACACCGACCCTTTGTTGCTTTAACTTCACCGCAAAAAGCTCTATGCCTCTCATCAAGGTGGTTTTATTTTGTCCAAAACAGGAGAGTTTTGTGACAAAAGTAGCATTATAGTGTGTACACCTCCACTATTTTGTCAGCAGAAGTTGCCTTTTTCCAACAAAACGTGTGGTGTAGGCCAGGCTTTAGGCTGGGCTACACTAGAAACACTACAGCAACACCCCTGCTTCTGTGCCACTGTAGTGTAGACACTCACCACACAAAAGAAGGGTTTCTTCTGTCACTGTGGTAAATCCACCTCTGTGAGAGCGGTACCTAGTTTGATGGAACATCAGCCACACTATCAGAGGCTCGTTCACCTGCACATCCACCAATGTGATATATGCCATCATGGCCAGCAATGCCCTCTGCCATGTACATTGGTCAAACTGGACAGTCTCTGGTAAAAGAATAAATGGACACAAATCAGATGTCAAGAATTATAACATTCATAAACCAGTTGGAGGACACTTCAATTTCTCTGGTCACCAACTTCTGATCTAAAAGTGACTATTCTTCAACAAAAAACTTCAAAAACAGACTCCAATGAGAGACTGCTGAATTGGAAATATTTTGCAAATTGGATACAATTAATTTAGGCTTGAATAGAGACTGGGAGTGTTGAGTCATTATACAAAGTAAAACTATTTACCCTTGTTTATTCCTCTCTCCCCCCACTGGTCCTCAGACATTCTTGTTAACTCCTGGAAATGGCCCACCCTGATTATCACTTCAAAAGGTTTTCTCTCCCACAACCCCACTCTCCTGCTGGTAATAGCTCATCTTAAGTGATCACTCTCCTTACAAAGTGTATGATAAACACCCATTTTTTCATGGTCTGTGTGTATATAAATCTCCTCACTGTATTTTCCACTTTATGCATCCGATGAAGTGAGCTGTAGCTCACGAAAGCTTATGCTCAAATAAATTGGTTAGTCTCTAAGGTGCCACAAGTACTGCTTTTCTTTTTGCGAATACAGACTAACACGGCTGTTACTCTGAAAATTGTCCTAGTGGTGTCTTCACTGCACCAGGTTTAGTTTGACTTAATTACATTATACAGGGCATGACATTTCTCTGTGCTGAGCAATGTAGTTAAGCTGGCCTAATTTTCTTGTGTAGACCAGGTGTAAGTCTCTGATCCTGCATTTGGATCAGTGTAGACAGATGCTTTCACTTGACTTCAATGGGGTTCTGTACAGACACTGTCTATGCATGTAGATCCAGGCCTAAACATGGATAGTAGGGGATGGAGCCTTTCAGGGGATTGATTTTTCTTATATGTTGGGTCTATTTAGCCTCAGGATAGTTTGTAACTTTTGAGCACTGGTACCTGCAAGAACTTTCAAGTTCTATCTGCAGGTGACAATTTCTAACTGCTGTGTGGCTGGGTTTTTTTATGATGTTTATTAATCTTAAGACTCTGCAGGTTTGGCCACTGAGTAGGGCCAATATTTATATTTTTGTTTAGCTGTTATCTGGAGAATTTAGCTAAGTCTACTGGTTGCAGTACAACTGTTCTACACCCAACGACATATTTAAGCCCAGATCCTGAAAAGATCACGTGAGCAAACCTCTGTGAGGTCAGTGCTACAAAGTCAAAAAGTCTAATCCGAAACCCTGAAGCTAACTCAAAGACTCCTATTGACTTTAAACAGCTTTCAGTCAATGCCAAAGATTCACATAAACAACAGGAGTATGGGCTGGATGATGCACTACAAGGTGGGTAGAAAGCTGGCTAGATTGTCGGGCTCAACGGGTAGATCAATGGCTCCATATCTAGTTGGCAGCCGTATCAAGTGGAGACCCCAGGTCGGTCCTGGGGGGTTTTGTTCAATATCTTCATAATGATCTGGAGGTGGTGTGGATTGCACTTCAGCAAATTTGCGGATGATACTAAACTGGGAGGGGTAGAACGCTGGAGGGCAGGGATAGGATACAGAAAGACCTAGACAAATTGGAGGATTGGGCCAAAGAAACTGATGAGGTTCAATAAGGAAGTGCAGGGCTGCACTTAGGACGGAAGAACCCAATGCACAGCTACAGACTAGGGACCGATGGCTAGGCAGCGTTCTGCGAAGGACCTAGGGGTGACAGTGGACGAAGCTGGATATGAGTCAGCGTGTGCCCTTGTTGCCAAGAAGGCCAATGGCATTTTGGGATGTATAAGTAGGGGCATAGCGAGCAGATCGAGGGACGTGATCGTTCCCCCTATTCGACATTGGTGAGGCCTCATCTGGAGACTGTGTCCAGTTTGGGCCCCACCTTCAAGAAGTATGTGGATAAATTGGAGAGGTCCAGCGAAGGGCAACAAAAATGATTAGGGGACTGGAACACATGAGTTATGAGGAGGCTGAGGAGCTGGGATTGTTTAGCCTGCGAAGAGAAGAATGAGGGGGATTTGATAGCTGCTTTCAACTACCTGAAAGGGGTTCCAAAGAGGTGGCTCTAGACTGTTCTCAATGGTATCAGATGACAGAACGAGGAGTAATGGCTCAAGTTGCAGTGGGGGGTTTAGGGATATTAGGAAAATTTTTCACTAAGAGGGTGGTGAAACACTGAATGTTACCTACGGAGGTGGGACTCCTTAGAGGTTTAAGGTCGCTTGACAAAGCTGGCTGGGTGATTTAACTGGGAATTGGCTGCTTTGAGCAGGGGTTGGACTAGATGACCTTCTGGGGCCTTCCAACCCTGATATTCTATGATTCTATGAACAAGTGCTGGTGGGGGGTTGTACATGATGTGAAAACTTTGGTTTACGTTGCACGATGAGGAATGCTACCTTAGCCAAATAAATTGGTTGAACATTTTCTTAAAGACAAGATAGGGACAGCCCTAAGGATTGAAGCTGTAAGATCTTCAGGCCAGGGACGCTGTTTTTATTTGAAACAGTTCCATGAACACTACCGGTGCCTAGCAAATAAGGAGAATGCTTACACTCATGTTAACGAAAGCCTCCAAGTGCAAGGGCAGCACACGTGTGCAAAAGGAATCTTGCAACACTTCCACCCAGCCAGGGCGACATGGTTCTTCGGAGAGATCCGTGGAAGGCAGGGCCACTGTCCTCCCGCGTTCGCAGGCAGCTGGAACAAAGAGGCGCCTCCCATCATCGGGGCACTGATTAATTAAGGAAGCCTTTTCTTTTCCCGCCTCACGAGCGGCCAGCATGCAAGGATCAGGCGTCTGGCCCTTTGCAAGGCGGGGGGCCCAGTCAGTGCAATCTTGAAGCCGTGTGGCAACTTCGCGAGCACGGCCCCAAACCCTCCCCGCTGCGTCCCCCGGGGGCCGGGGGGGGGCAGTTACAAGCCGAACTGCGGGGCGAGCGCTGACGGAGAGTCGCGGCGGCCTCTAGATGGTGCTCGGGGCCCCGGCTGCTGCTTGGCAGCTCGGAGCGGGGCTGCCTCCTCCCCCTCTGAGCTCAGTTCCTGCTGCCCTGCGTCTCTCCGGGCTGCTGGGCTCGCCTGGGTGCCGAGCTCGCCGCCAGCATGTCTTCCAACGCCAGCCTGAGCAGCATGCAGCGGCTGGTGGAGCAGCTGAAGCTGGAGGCCGGGGTGGAGAGGATCAAGGTGAGAGCCCCCGGCAAGGGGGCGGCTTGCCCGCAAAGCGGGTGGGGAGGGCTGGGCTCCGGTGGCCCGCTGCGAAACCGGAGGCCAGTGGCAAGGAAAGCGGGCGAGCAGCGTGGCTCTGGTTTGGGGGCTCAGTCCCCTTTTGGGACTTGGCTGGGGGGGTCCAGCCACCTCTCTACTAGCTCCCACCACCCAGCCTCGGGTGGCCAGAGGTCCCCACATTAGGGGCTTTGCCTGATATAAGACTCTGCACCCTCCCCCTCCCAGAAAAGAAGTGTCCCGATTTTTTTCACACTCGCTCTCTGGTCACCCTATGCCAATCTCCGACAGCAGCGGCCCCTGCACCCAGAGGCGAGGAAAGGGCGATGACGACTAACTCTGCAGAGATCGGGGGGGCCGAGCCACTGATGGAGGCAGCTGTGAGGGGTGGGAACCCAGGGATGCTGTTGGTCTCGGCCTATGGCTCTAGGTTCTCTTCTGTAACACGCTCGGCTCCTTTGGGCAGCACAAACTCAGCAGCTCCTTTGTTCAGCTGACAGGGGCATTTGGGGAAAGAGATCCCTGCTCCCCAGCCTTGCTGCACTGCAAGGATCAGTTGGTGGGACAGGGCTGGAGCTTTGTGATCAGGCTTTCATCACCTGGCCGGGTCAAAAAAGGGCCTTCTTACAGCGATTGTAGGTTCGACAAGGCCGCCGAGGGGCTAGCTGCTTCTGGGCACAACTTGGTTCCCAGGCGGGTGGGCTCATCTATGGTGGGGGCCTTCTGATCTGGGATCCGGAGAAATACCTTCAGGTCTGGTGGCTTCTGTTTATGTTACAAAGAGAACGTCGCCAACAGCTGGCATGGAAGTCTCATCAAACCAATGGCCCAGTTGCCCCCACCCCCCCAGATCTGTGGTGGTTTGCAAGGGAAAAAAGCCATCAGTTGATTGCGCTTTTTAACATGGGCTTATTTTCTGTTGTTCCGTAGGGTTTGGTGTTAAATAAAATGAGCTGCCCCTTCCTGAGCTAGCTCAGTAGGACAGAAGTAGGCAAGGACTTGGCCAAGCCCCAGGCTGGTGGGAAGAGCAAACTTGGAGAAAGCTATGGGGCGGAGAGGTCCTTCAGCAGTCTGTGCCAGCTTACCTTTATTTATCTGCATGGGGTAGAGGGAGTTAATTTTCTTCAGTTTGCGGTATTTTGATAAACGACTGGGAGAGAGTGATTGAATGATGTACTTCTGGGGACAGGTTCTGAGCCTTGGATGCAGCATGCGGGCTGTCTGCCAATCCAACTCATCAGTGTGGCAGGAGAGCATTTCCCAGGAAAAAAGGCTATAATGAATAATATAGCAGACCCTCATTAATTTTTGTTGCTGATCCACAAACATGATAATCTAGACCTCAAACCTGATGATCTCACCCACTTCCAATTAGACTTGAATAGAGAGGCTGTAATGATGCCTGCCAATTCCTAGATGTGTGTATGTTTGTTTTTATAATTATTTCTTTTATAAAATCCTGCCAACAAAAAGACTTGTTTTATAGCTGGTGATCATTTTAGAATTCCATGTTCCACAGTAGCTTTGATAAAGGAACTCTTTCAAGCTATGTGCAAAGTCCAACCCTGTTTCAGGCTGTAAAGCAATGAAAGTCAAATTAATTTGCATCCAGGATTTTCCTCCTCTCTCATCACCCCAAGTGTGCACACAAATTTACACTGCCCAGTTCATAAAACAGGCTTATCTTGAAATCAGATTTGAATACAGCTTCAATACTTTAAATGGTAGCTGTTTAGCCAGCTATTTTATAAATAAGAAACAGCTGAGACTAGATTTTTCTAATTTATGCTCATCTGCTTCGCAGTGAAAGTGGCAAGTGCATAACTCCCTGACCTGTACAATTACATGATGAAAGTAAGGTGGTATTTTAACATCAATGCACCATTCTCTCCAATACATTTACTAATATAACCAAGAAGGCTTATCAGTAATTAAAACTAAACAATAGTAGTTAAAATGACAAAGTACATGTGGACTGATTCAGTAACAGGGATCATAGTTTATCATTTGTTTGCTTGCATGTTCATTCATTACATTTGGGAATCTGCAATGAATAGCCTGGTCAACAGTACAGATGTGCCCAGTTCTTCTGTATTGTAGCAGTGCAATATTGTCTATTACTGTTGAGGGTGCCTAAGCATTTCCATTCCAATTTTCTGTTTTCAACTCTCGATAACATTAACCCACCAGGCAGAAATTTCCAGCCTTGTTCTTTGTTGGAAGATGTTTGGTTTGTTTATTGGGCTCTCTGGTTTTATTTGTTGGACTTCTTCTAAAAAAAAAAAATTCAGACTAATTTTCTCTTAGCAAGATAATTTGATCACAGAGCAGTAAAATAGGCACAAAAAGAGGAAACACCAAGGAAGAGAATATAATGATGAAACAACATGCAGGGGGATTTTAAAAGATGCTGAGCTGTGTGGGAGAAAAGAGCTTTTTTTGGCTGTTCAGAGTATGTGATGAATTATCAGAGGGAAATCCACCCCCACGATTGCATGCTCTGGTAGAGTTTTTGCCCCCCTCTCCAGATGAGTGCCCAGGGAGCAAGACTTTCGCAAAGGAGGAGCCTGGTCAGAAAGTGACACCTACGTACAGGGACGTGCACAAGGGGGGCAGCTGGGCTGAGCACACTTATTGCCATCTGCTGAAATGTGATAGATTAGGGAGTGAGGGGGGGAAATGTACATTTGGCTTGCATTGAGAACGCACAAGCCATAGTGACAGATGGCCCTGCTACTGAACACTACTAACCTGTGTCACAGAGACTGCTACTGCACTGTTGCCACACGCAAGGTGTGTGCCTCCTTCAGACATAGTTATCAACAGCAGTAGGATATACATGGCTCCTTGCTCATCGGCTGGCTGCAGAGTTTGCCTGTGTCAGCAAAGGTAGGCAGAAGAGGGCTGCAGAGTGGTGCTGAGCACTGTACAACATGGCATATGCAGGACACACTCTGCTAATTACTCCATAGTAGAGCACTGTGTAGCCCTGCCCTTATCTTCTGCACTTTGGTATTGACATAGGGCACTTAAATAGGCCAGTTAGTTCTTTGGGTGCATGGTGCCACAACAGGAAAGGGTCCAGTTTTCAGGCTTCTCAGTAGCGACTGGTGCTGCAGTCCAGAGAATGGCATGGCTCGGAAATGATGGGGCCGGTCCCAGGAAGGGACTGAGAAAGAATAAGAAACCCTTCAGGCATTCCAGAAGGGGAGTCTCCATGATCAGGGAGAATGGCAATCAGTCAGAGTCACTTCTCCATTGCCTCTTGGGTGAGGCTGCCTCAAGCATCTCTGAACACAGCGTGGTGGGAGGAGATACTCAGAAAAATTAATATTGTAGGGGAGTGGTGGCTGGCAATGAATAGAACAGATCCCAAAAAGGGAACTGAGTAAGAGGGAAGAGAAAAGCCACACCGTGTGCTTGGGAATGCTGCTGGATCTGACAGTCTGAGAATGGCAGCAAGCTCACCAGGCCCTAGGGATGGACGGTCAGGGCCGTCCTTAGGCATACGCAGCTGCGTAGGGCACCTGAAAATTTGGGGCACCTGTGGGTCTTAGTGTCCACCCTCCTGCAACTTCCTGTCCCTGTTCTGACCCTTCCTGCAGGCACCCACCACGGCTGGCTGCTGCAGCCTGGTGAATCTTCCTCTGGAGGGGATTTAGTCGTTAAAAATGAAAAAGCCTCCAGCCTGCCAGACCTATTAGCTCAACATTGAAACTTAAAGAGCCGTTCAAGCGGTAGCGAAGCCATTTAACAGGCATTTGCCAACCCCCAGGTATATACTGTCAGTTTCTGAATTTCCTGACCAAAACAGTTGTGCATTACCATAATATTTACTCAGAACATGTTAGTCTACAGGACCTTAGTTTAAAATTTGCTTTAAAAATATTTCATTAGTGTGTTGCTGAAGATTATGAAATCACATCTCTTAAAAAATCCTTGCCTAGATTTTTAGATGCACAATCTGAGTATTCATCTTTAGCCTTAAATGCTTGGATCTTCAGAATATAGTTTTTTTTAATAAATCCTTCAAAAGACCACCTGCATCTAAAATACACACGCGAGCCCAGGCTGCCATTGGGCATCAGGGCACCAGTTTAATAATACTGCATAGAGCCCCCTAAATCCTAAGGATGGCTCTGTGGATGTGGGTCACTGTCCCAATCCCGCAAGTAAACCCCTCCAATCCCCTCGTCTGGGAGCACTGGGGCGCCGCACAGAGAGCGAGAGCTATATTCCCTGAGCTCAGAAAAAGGCCTAGTGGGTAGCTTCAAGTGAGGACGTCGCACTTGGTGATTGGGGACTCCAGTTAGTGTTCTCCAATACCACCCTTTGGCGGACTAAAATCCTACCAGGCTGGCTGGCAGACAGTCACCCTGTCCTTAAACATTTCCTGGATCCACGCTGCTGTCTGCATCCTTGACATCTGATTTTTGAATCTCTCTCTGTCCGGCTCCAAAAGTTGCACAGGCTAACCAGCCTGTTGTCTAAGACGGTAGCATGGATGCCTCAGGCTCTTCAATACCTTCCGTCTCCTGAGCTTGCTTCAGACCTGTCAGGCCACTCCTCTTCAGGTGCCTATATCTAGATTTAGGAGATTAACTTGAGGCACCCAAGCTTGATAATTTTGACCTAAATTTCATTTTTTAAGGGAGGTTCAAATTTTAAGCCCTTCACTCTGCCCCTGCTGCTATCCTATGTCTTGCCTGATTTGTCTTCTCTTATTTAGCGTGTAAGCTCTTTGGGATGGGAACGATGTTTGCCATGGTGGGAAGCGCTGTGTACGTTGCTGTGTGACTATTTTGTAATAAAGTACACCGGAAAATTGAATTGCTCCGTGTGGCACAATGGAACTTGAATTCTGTGGCACCAACACCTACGTTCCACACGCTGCTGTGGCTCAGATCTGAAAATACTCGTTGATGTAAAACGTAGCGTCTGTCTCGCCAGAGCTTTGCGCGTTTGAATCTGCGTTATTTTAATCGGCACTTTTCGCTTTGGGAGCTGGCTTGGCTGCTTTCCCACTCTGTGTGGTAATGGTTACTAAAAAGAGGAACTATGTAGTAGATGTCAGGGAATGAACTGGTTTCTCCTCTGTATGAGGGTATTTCTTTTTCCTTGTACAGGTCTCTCAGGCAGCCGCAGAACTTCAGCAGTATTGTATGCAGAACGCCTGCAAAGATGCCCTGCTCATAGGAGTTCCTGCTGGGAGCAATCCTTTCCGGGAGCCTAGATCCTGTGCTTTACTCTGAAGTCAGGTATGGTAGCAACAACAGAAGTCGTATATGCTACCTGCTGTAAACCCAAAGCCCTAGAAATGACAAGTTTCCATTAGGTTCTCTTACATACATACCAATAATACCTCTTTTCTAGCAAAGTGCTTACTTTTTTTCTACTCTGGCCCTCTGGGCACTAGAGTTAAAACATGTTTCTCCCTCTGGACGTCCCTCTCTTCGTTTGCTTGTTGGCAGATACGGTGTCTGTAGCTATTTTTAAAACGAGCCTTCAGCAACAGCAGGATGTTGGGTGCATAATCGATTTGATTCTCTGCACTTCAGATAAGACCCTACTTCATTTTGGAGTCTGGGAAGGGTTTAGAGATCAAAGGCAGCAGGCGTCGATGGCACACTTCCAAGTTAGCTTTTAACTTCTCCCGCTGTAACTGTAGATTGTTTCTACTCAGCGGTGCTCACAATCCCCGTTCCTCCATTGGCAGTGACCAGGGAAAAGGCAGCTACCTCCACTTGAGGGTAGGAAACTGTCCCTCCAGAGGAGCATGGCGTACTACCAAAATGGCCAGTAAGGGACCCAGTTCCCCTTCCCCCAAAGTTGAGTCATCTCCCCATGGGAGGTGGCCTTCACATTACATTCACAGTGGTTTAGGAATGAATATTGTCTAGGAAGTGATTTCAGGGGGTGCTTTCTTCCAGCAGATATTGCATTGATGATGAGGTACCATTTTAGCAGATCAGTTATCTGAGGATAGGAGGGAAATTTAGAGGAAGGATTGACTGTGCAGTAAACTTAAGCATACATGGTTGATTCTGTTGACCCAATAATAGATCATCCAGTTTCTAATTAACTTAAGCACGGCATTTAACATGTTCCATGCCATTTGCAGTCTTTCAAACATACCGTTTTTCCTGTTACTTCACACCCTTTAACTCTCTTCAGCTTTTGATGATGGACCTGGTAGTGCATCAAATGGAACTGCATTCTTGATTAGTTTCTTTGCTAACTAACACAGTCCCAAAAAGAAAAGGAGTACTTGTGGCACCTTAGAGACTAACCAATTTATTTGAGCATGAGCTTTCGTGAGCTACAGCTCACTTCATCAGATGCATACCGTGGAAACTGCAGCAGACTTTATATATACACAGAGAATATGAAACAATACCTCCTCCCACCCCACTGTCCTGCTGGTAATAGCTTATCTAAAGTGATCATCAGGTGGGCCATTTCCAGCACAAATCCAGGTTTTCTCACCCTCCACCCCCCCACACAAATTCACTCTCCTGCTGGTGCTAGCCCATCCAAAGTGACAACTCTTTACATAATCAAGTCGGGCTATTTCCTGCACAAATCCAGGTTTTCTCACATCCCCTCCACCCCAATACACACACAAACTCACTCTCCTGCTGGCAATAGCTCATCCAAACTGACCACTCTCCAAGTTTAAATCCAAGTTAAACCAGAACATCTGGGGGGGGGGGGTAGGAAAAAACAAGAGGAAACAGGCTACCTTGCATAATGACTTAGCCACTCCCAGTCTCTATTTAAGCCTAAATTAATAGTATCCAATTTGCAAATGAATTCCAATTCAGCAGTTTCTCGCTGGAGTCTGGATTTGAAGTTTTTTTGTTTTAAGATAGCGACCTTCATGTCTGTGATTGCGTGACCAGAGAGATTGAAGTGTTCTCCGACTGGTTTATGAATGTTATAATTCTTGACATCTGATTTGTGTCCATTTATTCTTTTACGTAGAGACTGTCCAGTTTGACCAATGTACATGGCAGAGGGGCATTGCTGGCACATGGAGAGTGGTCAGTTTAGATGAGCTATTACCAGCAGGAGAGTGAGTTTGTGTGTGTATGGGGGTGGGGGGGATGTGAGAAAACCTGGATTTGTGCAGGAAATAGCCCGACTTGATTATGTAAAGAGTTGTCACTTTGGATGGGCTAGCACCAGCAGGAGAGTGAATTTGTGTGGGGGGGTGGAGGGTGAGAAAACCTGGATTTGTGCTGGAAATGGCCCTCCTGATGATCACTTTAGATAAGCTATTACCAGCAGGACAGTGGGGTGGGAGGAGGTATTGTTTCATATTCTCTGTGTGTATATAAAGTCTGCTGCAGTTTCCACGGTATGCATCCGATGAAGTGAGCTGTAGCTCATGAAAGCTCATGCTCAAATAAATTGGTTAGTCTCTAAGGTGCCACAAGTACTCCTTTTCTTTTTGTGAATACAGACTAACACGGCTGTTACTCTGAAAACAGTCCCAAAAGAGGCTGCACGCGGCTTGAAAGAAACAAATGAAGCTGGAGCATTGGCACTGATTTAAATAACTCTCCGCATGTTACAACACTTTTCGACTTGCATGTTGTATTGCAGTTCACTTAGGCTTTGTCTACACTAGGCTTTTTCCCACCATTGTGACAGCTGGCGCAGCTCCATGAGAGATAGCAGCAATGGAGGGCCTAGTGTAGACTGGTAACCACTGTCATCGTTGACCTGCTCTGAGCAAGTCTAAACAATGTGGGTCACTCACCAGCAGCCACCTGAACGCTGTCTACACTAGTGCTCCCTGCATTGCCGGCCCTGCTGGTAGTAACAGTGGGAATATTAAGAAAAAAACTGAGTGCAGACAAATCATTAGGGTCCAATCCTGCAAAGGTATTCTCACCTATGTGTTTATTCCCATCCGTAGTCATATGGACAGCCCTGGTACTACAAGGGTGTGAGTAATTCTTTGTAGGATCAAGCCTTTGTGTCTTGCCTAAAAATCTTACATAGCACAGTCATCATGTTTAATGTAAGAGCAGCCATCCTCATAATTCTTTAAAAGTGACAAATAAGGTGGTAACTCCTAGTAGGGAGGGTAAATAAATTACCACGACAGGAGGACTGATGAGAGTCCCATTTACTTGCTCTTTGTTAGAGGACACTGTCAACTTGAAATCTATTTGGTTTAATTGGTACTTTTGTCCCTCTGCCAAATGTTGTGCTTTTAAAAATCACATTTTCCTATTTTTTTTAAATATTTGTTTTCTCCGCTGGAGCTGTGTCAAAGTAAAAGCTCCTGGAGCCAATGGGTCATCGGGCTGACATGGTTAAGGCACATCTGTTTCATAGCCAGTGGCACACAAGGGAGTGGTGTGGTCAGCATCATGTCTGACTATCTTTGGCTACTCTAACCCTATGGATCAGGCACTATTTTGCAGGTGGGTGAACTAGAGGTGGCCTTTCATTGTGAGATTGAGAGAGACTCAAACCTGTGACCTTCACCAGTCAGCCAACCCACCTCTGTGGATCTGGGTGAAAGAGGGGAAATTGACTGAGGAAAAAGTGCAACTGGTGGCTCAAAATGCTATCAAATGCACAAACAGAAAAATATTTTTTTCGTTTCTCTTTGTTACAATAATCTTAGGTGTCCCTGCAAATGTGATATTTAGGATGACAGTGACTCTTCTATTTTCTGTTCCTTTTATGAAGTTGCCATTCTACTTGTGTATATGTGTTTCTAGGACTTGACTCCATCTGAGTTAAGAAATAAAGTATCATATGGTTACATTGGCCTGTCAAGATACAGGATTTTTTCTCCTGTTTGAGGAGTAAGAGCCCAGTAAATGATTTATTGCAAGCATTCCAGAAGTACATAAATGGGTACTGGGTTTTATGTCTTTCTTCTTTTGCTAATAGACCAATATTTCATAGCACTTTTGTTGCTGCTTCATGAGGATAAAATGGCAAGGACAAATTTTACAGTATTCCAGGAAGCTAGCACCCAACAGTGGCTCAGCTTGTGAGAAGAATTTATTAAAGAAGAAAACCAAAGACAGCCTTTAATAAAACTCTTTTTCCTTTTGTAGGGAACGTCGGTGGAGAGTTTTCTTCAAGCATGAAATGAATAACAGCTGCCTTTCCTTCTCAAGAAAACACTATCTCTGTGCCCTACTTTTTCTGTGGCCAAAACAATCTCCTAGATATTTATCAGTCTATTCTGGTGTATCAGTAGTTCACTAGATCTTTTGCTAATATGTGTAAAGTATTTTATATGAGAAAGCACTCTTAATAACTGAGTTAACATTGTTTCCATAGTTACTACACAAGGTTATTTAATGATGAGGTTGTTTACATTTTAGAAAGGAAAAATATTTTAAAAATTTTACCAAATAACTTTCCCCCCCCTTAATAATTGTGATGCCTGGATTAAGGATTTTTCTACACACTTAAATTAAATTGCCTCTTCCTCTTACCCAGGCTTGGTATTTACATTTTCTAAACAGACACCCACAAAGTGCACGTTGAAATACACAAGAACCCGCTTTTAGTAAGAGAACAGTGTTGCCAAATGGAAAGGTTGTTTTTGTTTTTTGTTTTTTAAATTTTTAAGACTTGGGAGCTAACTCAGACTGCTTTCCAGCTGCCTTTAAATCAGTATGTGATGTCTTTTATAGAAATTGCCTGACAGTATGTAGCACAGACTTGATTCTTATGACACATTCACTACAGAATGTCCAACCTGTTTACTCTCTTTCTTATTTGTGCTTCTCAAGATATTGCTTTGTTGGAATTTTCTTAACAGATGTTTAAAATATGATTAATAATATTCACAGAACACTAGAAAAACAAGAATGCAAATTGAGTTCACACTCAGAATTATCAAGGCTTGAAATACACAACTCATTAAGCCTCTATGAGTGTATAATGTTGTTGGTTGTGTGCCTTTGGTTTTTTACAGAGCACTTTTACAAGACCCTGCTTATTTTTTTTAAGTTTTTCATTTTGTTTACTCTCCAGTGTTCGTATTAATCTTTTAGAAGCTTGGAAATAAAATTCTTTTCCCTACTGCCTTTGACCTTTGTTTTATTATAAGGAAGAGGAGACCTGTTTGTTCATCAGAGGATTTTCTGATTTAGATATGGGAAGGAGGGCTTATGAATTACGCGGCATTTAGGGCTGCATAGGTTAGTGCAGGAATCCAGAAAAGTTTGTCTCCTGTTGATAGAAAAGCAGTAGTTATAGATGTTTAACTTCTTTGTGTGAATAAGGGAAGGCATCATAACCCAACTTATAAGAAGAAATGTGCACAGAGTATTTCATATGAAAGGTGCGTATGATTCCTTAGAGTGAAATTTTCAAAGGGGACTGAGGGATTTGAACACTCACTTCCAATTAATGTCACTGGGAACTGGGCATCCAAATCCCATAGGATCTCACCCTGAATCTTTCACAAATACCTTCATTCTGGTGAGGTACGGAAGAGGAGTGTACTAGTTTAGTGCCTATGTATATGCCCTGCCAATGTGAACTCTGCTTCCTTCCACAGGAAAGAATTTATGGACTTCTTTCCACTCCCAGCCACGATGCTCCGTTCTGTTCTTATCTATTTTAGGTCGCCTGAACATCTCACAGTTGTTAGTGTCTATACCTCACAATGCTGCTGCAATGCAGGGAAATTCTATGATCCCCATTGTGCAGACGGATATCTAAGGCCCAGAGGGAAAAAGTGACTTGCTCAAATTTAGGTAGTTTGTGACGGAGCAGGACCCTCACAAGACCATTCTTCCTCATCAGTGTGTTATACCAAAAAAATAAAAACCAGCAGGATCTTATTAAAGGGAATAAGACAAAATGCCACATTTATTATGAATACAGAAAGAATCATAGTAAGCAGTTAGTTATAGCTATAACATGCCATTCAATTTCATATTTATTCACACATTCATTCATACACACACACACAGGTTCTTCAAGGTTGTTATCATTGTTACCAGCCTTAGAGTTGCTCGTGCCAAGCCACTGGCCAGGTGGCCTGGACACGAGGAGAGAGCAGGGCCTTCTCAGATGTACATCTGATGCTCCTGGAAGTTGGTTTGCAGAATCAGACCCCAAAGTTCTCAGTTTCTAGAGTCCATTTTTATAGGAATTTCTTCCTATGCCAGTCTATGGGAATTGCTTCATCATGCTGTTGCTGAATCAATCAGCAGATGGCACATTCCTGACGGCTCCATGCTGCCAGATGTTATCTTGTTCTTCGGTTCTCCCATCCTTGAGGCTGTTGGGTGGATTCCACTCTGCCCTCCGGGGGGGGGGGTCCTCTGGTTGTTTCCACTTGACGCCTTCTTCGGCTGATTGACACTGGATTCTTAGGCTGGCACCTCCCTGATCATTTATTATCCACACCAAGCATCCATCCACATACATCCTCTATCTCTATTTTAATCACAGTTGTTAACAAAGCGAGATAAATACAACAAAAGGGCGGGGAGTCTCTGTGTGCTGTTTCTGTCGTGACAAAGTATCGCTCTGAGTCTCCCTGTGTGAACAGTTGTTGTTACAAAGTATTGCTTTGAGAACAGACTCTGTCTTAGGATGTACTAACACAATTAGCAGCTTGCAAGTTTCACACAGAGAGGGAGAGAAACAGTAAAACCAAGAGACCTCTTAATTATAATACCCTGGAATTTAAACGATAGGGAATCAAACTCATTTGTGATTTTAATACAGAACTTCTTTAATATGATCCAACAAGTGCCTCCCCTTTGTACAATACAACCCAATAGCCTATAGAAAGATAGGAAATTTGCCAGTCCTCAGGTATATTCCACCTGGAAAGTAAGCAAATTACAAATTACTTGGGTCTATCATTGAACTGTGACCATTCGGCTTGGTTGAGGGTTGGTGGTATTGACTGCAAGGTGACAGGCTCAGAGAAAAAGATGCAGTGTGGTGCCATGAGGTAAGTGTTTTCTGCATGAGTGGAAGAAAAATAGGGACAGAGTCATCAAGGATGAGTTGGGCAACATGGGTTGCCCAAAAAATCACTAGTGAATTCTGTGTTAACATGCTGGGATTTTTTTTAAAAAATGCATCTCTTTTAGAAGCTAAAAGCATTTAATATTTCTTAATATTAAATTCATGGGGAAAGTCGTCTTTTTTGAGTAATACTGCCTCTGTGTGGGCATTTGTGTGTGCGGGAGAGAGAGAGCCAAAGACAAATAGTTTAACACTGGGTGTTGGGGTTTTTCCTTTTTATTTAAGATGTTGCAGCAGCTAGCTTTGTAATTCCCTTTTTTCTGGACCAGCATAAAATGAATACAGACAGCAAGTTACACTCCCTTCGCAACTAAGCTACTGAAGGCAGTGTATGCTTGTATCTGTTTTTAAAGTTATCCACTGTAGGTTCTCCGTCAATGTTCTGTACTAACTTTTCTTGTATGTTCACATTAAAGTTTTGTATGTGTGAAAGAACAAATACAGGCTAGGGAGTAGAAGCTGTATTTTTCCCGTCCCTGTGGTTATCTACGACAGTTTTTGCAGAACTGTAGTCTTACACTGAAGCAACAGAATCCTGAGTTTAGCAGTCTGGGGGAGAGTTTTCAAAAACACTACCTAATCTATGATGCAAATAGAAAGAAAGTGGTTTGGTCAAGTGACCACAAAAATGGGCTAGAAATAGCAAATGGACTGCAATGTCTATTTAAATCCACCTCCTATTCTGGGTAAAGTGCGGGAGAGGTGGTTTGTTTTGCAGTTCTACAGAAGATAATGATTTTGAAAACTGCATATGAAAGATCTTTTCTAAACCCTCCTTCCCAGGCAACTTGCATAACAACAATTTCGGATCCCACTTTAAGTTAAAAGCTGCTGGTAGCATTGTCACTGTTGAGGCAGGACTTTTGCAAGAGGAAATCGTTCAGCATATTTACTTCTAGGAATTCTCGCTTTAGAGCCAGGATCTCATTTTCCTTCTGAAAACAAAACTGCTGTCTCTGGTGATCTATTTATTTTGCTCAGATACAGAACATGTACTCGGTGAAAGCTTAAGGTCAAGGTGACTTTAAGCTGCAAGTATAAGCATCCTGCTACATCTGTTCCTCACCCCCAGGTATTACATTAAACTTTAAATATTTTAGGGTCTGAAAAATTAAATCATCTAAACCAGAGGCTACAGAACAAATACTGATGTTCTGGAGCTGACACATATTCCTCTGCAAACCATATATTGCTACACCTGTTCCTGCAAAAGGGAATTACATCCCACAGCCTGATCCATATGTCTCTCCAGCATGACAGCAGTTTTAACCACCAAGTGTTCACAGAGGTCAACTTTTCAGATGAAGAATGGGGGCCAGGTCTCTTCGTCGTCTTCTACTGGAGGCAACAATGGCAGTTAGTGCCTCTCTCCTCACCCACAAATGTATTCTGAGGTCAGAAAGGTCTGTATTCTACAGGCTTCCAGTAGAATGCAATGCAGATAACTCCCCCCTACCCGCACCCCCCTATAATTCCTGTTTGAACTGGAACAGATCTTTTTAGAGAAACAACCAGTCTTCATTTAAAAATGGCCAGTGCTGGAGAATCCACCAGGAGCCACTCAAAATATTAGAGTGATACCGGTGGGTGCTGAAGGATCTCAGTGGCTGTCAAGGACTAAGGATAACTTTTTTAAGGCAAAAGCTTTCATTGCTGTCAGTTGCTTTACATTTTGATGATTCTTTCCAAAATGAAAACTGGGATTAGCCTTGACAAGAAAAGTAATAAGATGTCTGTTAAATTTCATAGCTTAATCACTTGCTTTTTGTCTATCTTCCTTAATTTGTTAATCATCTACTTAGATTTGTAATTCCTTAGGACAGGGACCTCTGTCTTCCGTCTTACTTATATAGCACTTGAGGGTACATTTGATATCATTTTTTTACTATTTGTTTAGCAGTGACATTAGGCTGAGTGCTTAAGAGTCCACAAAAATAAAGGCAGTCCTTGTTCCAGAATATCTTTAGTGTAAAAGACTGACAAGTGGAAGACCTGGCACAGTGGGACATACAGCACTAGAAAAAAGGGAAAATTACTTACCTTATAATTCTGCGCTGGATGTCTTGCAGGATTCTGACTCTTGAGTTTCAAGTCTCTAGTACAGGGGTGGGCAAACTTTTTGGCCCAAGGGCCACATCAGGGTGCAAAACGGTATGGAGGGCCAGGTAGGGAAGGCTGTGCCTCCCCAAACAGCCTGGCCCCCGCCCCCTATCTGCCCCCCTCAGAACCCCAGACCCATCCAACCCCCCCCTGCTTCTTGTCCCCTGACCGCCCCCTCCCAGGACCCCCTGCCCCAACCACCCCCCCTGGGACCCCACACCCTATCCAACCCCCCCTGCTCCCTGTCCCCTGACTGCCCCAACCCCTATCCACACCCTCTCCCCCTGACAGGCCCCCTGGAACCCCACCCCCTATCCAACACCCCCTGCTCCCTGTCCCCCCCGACCTCCCACCCCCTATCCAACCCTCCCTGTCTCCTGACCGCCCCGCCCCCCGAACCTCTGCCCCATCCAACCGCCCCCTGTCTGCCCTCTGGGGCCTCCTGCCCCTTATCCAACCCCCACCCCCCCGCCCCTTTACCATGCCACTTAGAGCAGCAGGACAGGCTTATTTGAAAGCCTGGGAGGTGGGTGGGCACAAGCCGCGCTGCCCGCGAGCCGGCATTGCTGCAGGGGAGGGAGGACAGCGGGGGAGGGGTTGGGGGGGTGAGCCTCCCCAGCTGGGAGCTCAGGGGCCGGCCAGGATGGTCCTGCGGGCCAGATGTGGCCCACAGGCCATAGTTTGCCCACCCCTGCTCTAGTATGAGCCTATCCCAGACTTCTGAACCTAGACTTTTGGAGAACTGTGCCACCCCATGTTGACAGGTAGAACATTTCAACCTTGTTGTGAAATGGCTGAGGGACTAAAAACAAAATAAGATGTACTGGATCAGGAAAAGGTGTCTAATGTTTTACCCACAGGCATCTGTACTGAGCCAGGTCTGCTTTGACCTCTTCATTAATATCTAGAAAAGGGAGTAAAAATGTAAATCTAACTAGTTGGTAATATGAAAATGGGACTTTCTGGAAATACTAGTGGAAACAATAGACTGTGATCTAAAGCTATTAGAAACCTTGACAGAAAAAAACAGAACAGTACAAAAGTAGAGAAAATTGTAAGTTAATATATTAGGCTGGGGAAGAGAATTTATGATGGAGAACCTTGGAACACAAGTAATGCAAGAAATAATTTGTGGTACTAATATGAAACAGGCACATGTTCCCCCTCTAAAAATAATCACGGCACTAATATGTTTACAGACAATTGCAGTCTGGGCCTGGAAATCCCCGTTTGACTACAATGGACTTTGGATCAGGCCATCTGCTTGTATATCCCTTTACCTTATCCTTTGGCTGACTTGCCTGCTTAGATGATAAGCTCCTAGGGACAGGGATTCGACCCTGTGCAGTGCCTAGCACAATGAGACCCTGTTCTCAGTTGGTTAAGAGGCACGACTGTAATACAAATACATTAATTTGTAATGTGATATAGCAGAAGAATGGCCAGTGCAACTGTGTAGAGGCAGTCATAATAGTGCCCCTTTCTATGGCTCTTGGCCACCGGCACCTGGAATACCGTGTTCATGCTGGGGTGCTTATTAGAGACAAATTGGGGGAAGTGGGAAAAGAAAGATGCAGGAGGTCCGAGTGATCATGACAGCCTACAAATACCTAAAGGGTGCAAACACTAAGGAGATACACTATCCTATATGATGTAAGTGGTCATTGCTAGGAGCAGTGATATGAACTTGAGAAAGGGGGCAGTTAAGCTGAATGTGTTTTAGGCAGGGCAGGAAGAAAAGATGAAAGTCCCATTGCTTGGTCCATTAAAAACTCAACTGAGTTCCCTATTCAATAAGCTCTAGAGTCTGCCTCTTTCTCCCTGTCCTCCCCCACCTCCAAGGAAGCGCGGGTGGTTGTTACTACTCCTGAGCATCCTTACTACTCACAAGGACCCTGCTCCAGAAAAGGATTTAGGCACATGCTTAGAGTTACAGACATGTTTAAGTTGCTTCGCTGGATCAGGAGGACACTGAAGAACTAGAGGAAACTGGTGGAGTGGGCAGGAGCAGTGTAGCCTATAGTGTTGTTTGGGTTAAGAAATTACTTTAACCTAAATTAGCCTATTTTTGGGCCTAAGTGTAGCGGAGTCTGGGAAATCGAAGTAGCTAGTGTGAAAAAAGTCAAAGATAAGTTGGAGACAGAGTGTTATGGAAAGTAAGAATCAGCAAGGACATGAGCCAAGGTTATGGTATGGTGATGTTTTTGTTACAACTATTTTGAGCAAGGTTTTAAAAGTGTTTTTAAGAACTGTAAATGTTTTATTAAAATGCTGTCTATATTGATGGAATGGGAAAGACTTTGGTGCAGATGTTAATTTAAATAATGTGTAATGTAAAAAGCTAATAAGAAATGGTGGAAATATAATTGTGGTAAAGGACAGTTTAATATTAATTAGTATTATGATGGGGTATAAAAAGAAGTTTTGTTAAACTGGAGAAAACTTCAATTAACATCCAAAGGGTATAGTCAGATCCCAGGCTGTACTTTACTCTGTTGTCAGTGGACTGATCACGCATTGATACATCATTTCATCATCTAGTGTCAGTGTAACTGCATTATTGTGTAATGTGACAAAGTTCCTCCTCTGCCTTGGTGGGTCCTGGGCTTTTTGGCAGATTTGCTCACCTCAGAGGTTCACGGCAGCCCTCAGTTTGGCCACTTCTGCTAGAGGCTCAAACCTGCCATTCACTCAGCTAACCTCATCACTGGCCAGCATGGGGGAAACAGAGAACAAGATCCGCAGTCTCTGTCGTCCCACCTAGTGGGTCGGGGACAGGCCAGATCCCTTTCCAAAATAGATCTTCCCTTCTGGTGTTTCTCACAGAGCAGGTCAATTCCTCCTGTGTCCAATCAGGAGATGGGGGGAACCTAGGCCTGCCCTCTACACAGGCTTCCAGCCCAGGACCCTGTGGATAGCAGCTGTCTACAATGTCTCCTGTATCAGCTGCGTGACACCTACAACTCCCTGGTCTACTTCCCCATTGCCTTCCCCCCAGCACCTTCTTTATCCTCACCACAAAACCTTCCTCCTGAAGCCTGATCATGCTTGTACTCCTCAGTCCTCCAGCAGCACGCCTTCTCACTCCCTGTTCCTTGCACCCCACTCATCCGGGTCTGTCACAGTAAGTAGTAATTGTATGCCTGTTTGTTTAACTAATCATAATTTTAAATAAAGTTTGGTTGTGTCATTTATAGTGTCGCCGAGTTGTCCTCTACTAAATAAATTTCCTGTGACCAACCTAGAGGCTCGACCCTGAAAACTAAGTTGGGTTTTATTGCACCCTCATCTTTAACAACTTAATATTAAGTGGGAATATTTCAACCTAAAGATTACAGCAGCAATTTTTGTTGCCATCCAATATCTGGGGTAAGCGCTGCCAGCAGCAGCCATTGCTCAAAGGGTTGTATAGGCCTTGGACTGGCTGCCTTTGAAGTGCTGAGAGGCCTCAGGGACCTTGTGGGAAATTTCCTTGGAGCGGGGTAGATCATTCCAAACCTGGTTGCAGCTTGCTTACTTTTAAAACACAAACATATGGCCAGATGCTCTATTCCAGTGATTCTGGAACAGAGGCACTAATTGGGAAGTATCTCTGCTTAGAGTAACAAACAGCCATGAGAAGAGCTTCTCCCTTATAATTCCATGGAAACCCCACTGTAAGTAAAATGTGGGACTGGGACTCCAGGCTTGTCAACCTGAGGGATTTTTTGCACTGCATTGTAGCTACACTGGGGTTAGTTCCCAGGTATGGATGTTCTGCACTGGTGTTAAGGGGGTGGGGGAGGATACTGGTGTTAATTACCTTGGTTTCAAGCCCTGCTTTAAGATGATGCAAAAATGCCTAGACAAGCTCACTGTAGGGGTGAAGCAGGCATGGGACTAGTTTGGAAGGAGGCAGGACCAGGGCATGGTTGGCTTCATCAGCATTCACCTGCTCAGTTCTGTGAGATAGATGACCTGTCAGCAGTCTCTTGCACTGCACCACTCTCCACACATTGTCTTAAAGAGCCAGGGGAAGTGGGGAGAAGGAGCTGAGGCATTTTACAAAAGTTGACTCTTCCCCAATATAGCATGTTTATCGGTCTGACAATTCTGTTCTTTACTATAGTTTCAACCAATTTACCAGGTACTGAAGTTAGGCTTATTGGCCCATAATTGCCAGAATCGCCTCTGGATCTTTTTTCCTGCAAGTTCAGAAGCCCAGCACCTTTCTCTCAGGAGCAAACCCAGGCCCTCCACTGAAATGATCAAGGAAACTCCAAGAGTTTAAATGTATAGCTTCTAGGCCCTTATTTGCCTTTTTGTGTGTGTAAAGAACAATGTGGTTCTTTTAAATTAATTCATGAGATATGGAAACAAATTATAGAAAGGCAGTATGTGAAAGTGGAAAAGTTTTTATTTATCTTAATTTACATCTAAGAATAGACATTTTTCCTTGTAATTCTCCAGATTAAGTAAATAACTTGTTTGGTAAAATGTTTAAAAAAAACCCTTTTAATAAACATGCAAAAACTTTAACCTAATAACTTCTCAATATATGAAAATGACCAGAGAATTGGGTCAGAAATACTTACAAAATTTAAAATGGCTCCTTTGAAACTTTTCACTAATTTAAAAAAATATCTGTAGTAAGACTCTCCATTTAATTCAAAAGAATTTAAGACGAGTTTGCCCATCACTTCTTCCAGGGGCTTTTTCAAATGTTAGTCGCCTTTTTTTGAGCTGTGGTACTTGTGCAAAGCCTAAACCTATGAAAGAAAGCGGGGAAATAAGAAAGGAGTGAATAACTACAAAACAATGTCCTAGTTGTGTAGACTTGGCGATGCTTTTCTCAGTAGTAATAGCAGGCTGTAGCTTTTCATAGCGTGCTACTGTACAAAGAATGACAAGATTGTAACCAGCCTGAGATCTGTACAGATTACTATTTTTAGAATAAATTCCATTAATAGAAGTATATGCACAAACATCTTGTGACTTTAAACTGGGAATTAATTTACAAAAGCAATCTGTGATATACTTAAGGACTGCAACACTTTGGCATGCTTTTAATGTTTCTTTATATTAGATGAGTAGTACATTTGAGACTCTTCAATAAATGTGTAATTAGAAATTTTTCATCAGGGACACACTATTAATGTTCTCAAGTTAAAAATGTCTACACTTAAAAATTACAAATAATTTTAAAAGCAAAATATTTGAAAATTTGTTCCTTAATCTTGCGTAAGTCTTTTGTACAGGATTCTGTTTGTCCCTAGCAATACATAATATGGAAAAACAAAACAAACAAAAAAACTTAACTAGGAACTTCATCTGTTACAGAAGAAAAAACTTGGTGCATTGACCCTAAGTGTTTTTAGATTTAATAAAACTTTATCTTCCCACACTGATTTTTTTAGGCCTATTTTGACTTTGTAGGAGCTTCTGAAATATGGAAGTTGCATGACATTTTTCTTTAATGGGGCAATGCTTTGTGAGCTAGCCTTTGTTTTATTTTTGCTCATGAACAGTGAATTAAAAATAACTTTTTCTGCCAAGAGCCAAGACAAAACCACGGCTCATCTCCTCCTCTTGCTTTAATCACGTTTCATTATTTTATGTATGGATTTGATATGACAGTTCTTGGTATTACACAAATCTGTTCAACTAGAGATCAGTGCTTTTCAGGACAGTGGGACCTGGAGGCAGGTCATTGGTTTCTACAGAACTGGTTTACTGGAGTTAAAACTTTCTCTTCTGACTAGACAATTTCCTTTACAGTTACTGAAGTACTGCTAACCACCACACTGTACCTCAGACTTACCCAGGGAGAGAGGAGTAGCAGCAGATTTGTTTACAACTTCCTTATAATCACCTTAATTCCCAAAGATTGAGAAATAAAAGCAGTATACCACATTTCAAATAACTTTTCCCCTGTTCACTGCCAGCTTGCCATAACCACCCCATGAACAAGATATCAATTAGTTACTCAGGTTTTCATAGGTTTCAGAGGAACAGCCGTGTTAGTCTGTATTCGCAAAAAGAAAAGGAGTACTTGTGGCACCTTAGAGACTAACCAATTTATTTGAGCATGAGCTTTCGTGAGCTACAGCTCACTTCATCAGATGTATACCGTGGAAACTGCAGCAGACTTTATATACACACAGAGAATATGAAACAATACCTCCTCCCACCCCACTGTCCTGCTGGTAATAGCTTATCTAAAGTGATCAACAGGTGGGCCATTTCCAGCACAAATTCAGGTTTTCTCACCCTCCACCCCCCCCCACAAATTCACTCTCCTGCTGGTGCTAGTCCATCCAAAGTGACAACTCTTTACATAATCAAGTCGGGCTATTTCCTGAATAGATCCAGGTTTTCTCACATCCCCCCCACCCCCATACACACACAAACTCACTCTCCTGCTGGTAATAGCTCATCTAAACTGACCACTCTCCAAGTTTAAATCCAAGTTAAACCAGAACATCTGGGGGGGGGGGGGTAGGAAAAAACAAGAGGAAACAGGCTACCTTGCATAATGACTTAGCCACTCCCAGTCTCTATTTAAGCCTAAATTAATAGTATCCAATTTGCAAATGAATTCCAATTCAGCAGTTTCTCGCTGGAGTCTGGATTTGAAGTTTTTTTGTTTTAAGATAGCGACCTTCATGTCTGTGATTGCGTGACCAGAGAGATTGAAGTGTTCTCCGACTGGTTTATGAATGTTATAATTCTTGACATCTGATTTGTGTCCATTTATTCTTTTACATAGAGACTGTCCAGTTTGACCAATGTACATGGCAGAGGGGCATTGCTGGCACATGATGGCATATATCACATTGGTTTGATGTGCAGGTGAACGAGCCTCTGATAGTGTGGCTGATGTTATTAGGCCCTGTGATGGTGTCCCCTGAATAGATATGTGGGCACAATTGGCAACGGGCTTTGTTGCAAGGATAAGTTCCTGGGTTAGTGGTTCTGTTGTGTGGTATGTGGTTGTTGTTCATAGATGATTTTGGTGTAATTACTTAGGTACCTCCTCAGCTTCACTGGACAATGAAGAGATCAAAATGTAAAATAACTGTAATCAGTTATTACATTTATGAATACTACAGGACCTCTCCTTGCCCCTGGGACTAAATTTTCAAAAATTAGGGGTTAATAAAGAAAGTCACATGCATGCATATTTAAACATAGAATGGTCTCACTTGTGCACACAAAGCTGCCAATTCACATATAACAAAACTGATTTAGCTAGTCATTAGTTTGTATGAGGACTTAACCAGGTTTGTCCAAGAATCTCAGCTTTGGTGTTTTTTTTTAAATTTGGCCCATAATATCAAAATTAGATTGTAATTATCATTAATGGGCCAGATTTTGCCACCCTTCCTACTTGGGACTTATTTTGCAAGTCATCTTATTGATTTCACTCTCTGAGTAAGGGTGGCAGAGAGAATAACTGAAGAGGAGAGGCATAATTTTTAAAAGGTTCTGTGGCACATGGTACAATGAGAGTTACTGATAGAGATCAGTAATTACTATTAATTATTACTTTTAAAATGCCATGGATATGCATTACACTTTACAAAAGAGAGAGACCATGCCTTAAAGAACTTACCATCTAAAATGAGAAAATAAACAGGAGAAGATGGCACACCCAAGGAGGAGATGGGAAGAAGAACAGAGTGAAGACAATAAGGATATGAAGTCTCTTCTGTGAGTAATGTATGTCTTCAGGGTTAACAGGGTATTTTAATATTAATACATACATTAAATTTCATTGAAGAAGTGGGTTTTCAAAAGCACTCAAGAACAGAGAAGGAGTAGGTGCAGGAGGCAAAACTAAGAAGGGGGCTTCAAGCACAGGATGCTGCACAAAATAGATGTCATAACAAATATATGTCAGAGAACACAAAGTGTCTGGGTGAAATCCTGACCCCACTGAAGTCAGTGGCAAAACTCCCATTCACTTTAATGTGCTCAGGATTTTGCTTTCTGTGGCTGCTAAATTTAACACTACGGGTGAAAACAATTTCAGCCCTGTGGTTGTCTTTGTCCTAGGTCTATGTTTATTAAAAAAATTTGTCAACATTTCTAAAAATAATTCGAGTAAGTTTATTAAATGAATTTCAAACACAGGTCATGGGAATAAGTAGAAGTTTTCTGAATTCTGAGCACTAGTGCTTTTTCAATATTTTGTCAAAAGAAAAAAAAAGTCATGATAATTTAAAAAAAAAAACTATTCCCCATTAGAGTAAAAAATGCACATATTTAAAATGCTAGGAACTCCTGCTTGCATTAAAAATACAAATAATATTTAGAATTTTCTACAAATTAGCTAATTAAAATGAAAGAGCAACTGATCCGTTGATTTGAAAACTATTTTAAAGAAAAATCTGTGACCTAGTCTTCCAGGTAGTCTGATTTTTAATTTAATTAGAGATTAATCTCAGCACTTGTGTGTGATTTTACCATACCTGTTAAAACATCCTTTTCTGTTAAGTTTGATAATGATGCACTGGGCCTTCTCTTTCCTGAAAACTCTCCAGCTATTTGGTGAAAATTCAGACTACGGTATTCATTTGGGTTTGCAACTGAATCACAGAGCCGGAGGTCAGGTGCAAATGAATCCAATGCATGGCTGGATGGATATTCACTCCAAAGCGTCTCCTCAGCCTGAGCTTCTGGACAGCTATATGGCAAGCCTCTAAATTCTCCTTGAAAATTCTTAGAGCTTTGCTGGAATGGAAAGTCATTAAATAAATCTTTTTTAGAGACAAGATACTGTGCATGTTTGGAAGCCTAATCAGAGTTCTAATGCAGCATGAGAGGTGGTCTTTGTACATCAAGTAAATTCTTCTTGATGCAGGGGTTCTCAAACATTTTTTGCTGGGACCCCCTTTGAAAGTATTTCAGGCTGTGACGACCCCCTCTAATAAAGTGTTGACCTGACACCCTCTGCCCCAATACCATGCCACACTTACTTCTGCACCGCTGCTGGTGGTAGCTCTGCCTTCAGAGCTGGGCACCTTGTCAGGAGCTGCCACTCTCCAGTTGCTCAGCTCTGAAGGCAGCACAGAAGTAAGGGTGGCAATACTATGACCCGCCCCCCTACAATAGGCTTGCGACACCCTTTTGGGTCAGGACCCCCAGTTTGAGAAATGCTTCATTAGACAATACTCCCGCCTTCCCACAGAGAATGTATCTTCTAGAGAGGATTATATTTCTCTATGTATATGCTGTACATCTTTGTGTTCCCTTCATGCATTAAAGTAGAGCCTAGAACCTACTATTGACTACATCAGGAGCAGAATCAGCCCCTTGATCCCTGAGAATTCACTATAACTGAGCACTTGAGACTTCAAAATATAAAACAAACATATGGTGCCTTCTAAAATGGTAAATAAGGATTTAACTGCATCTTTCTGAATGATCAGCTGTAACATTTTCTAAACAGTCATCTTAATTGAGCAATAAAGCTAGGTTTCATTTGCAGTTTCACTTAAGATCATTCAAATATTATAAGGAACTGATTGATTTTGATCTCTTTCTTTTTTGAAAATGTATCCTTCTTAATTCCATCCAGGTTCTTGTAAATGTCTAATACCTTAAGATTTCTTCAGATTCTTTTTACCAAGGACACTCTCTTTACCTTGAGAACACAAAGCCCAGCTTTTTCAAACTGTTTTTCTCGGTCCTTGAATTCCTGACAGTATAAGTCTGCTTCTGAGATCTGGTAATGCATTTTGGTATCCCTTGTTTTGTCTCGGAGTTTTTCTGGAGGATAATTAGTTTCCAGTCGGCCTAGACACAAGTAACAGGATATATAATAATAATATAAGATTTTCAGATTGTTAAACTCACCCCAAGTGCAGCAAAGTCAGTGGAGGAGGAAGTTAATATTTTATTTTAGTTGCTTAGTTAAGAGAGAGGAGTGTTACATGTTCTCCAAAAAGAAAAGGAGTACTTGTGGCACCTTAGAGACTAACCAATTTATTTGAGCATGAGCTTTCGTGAGCTACAGCTCACTTCATCGGATGCATACCGTGGAAACTGCAGCAGACTTTATATACACACAGAGAATATGAAACAATACCTCCTCCCACCCCACTGTCCTGCTGGTAATAGCTTATCTAAAGTGATCATCAAGTGATCATCAAAGCCTTTCAAGGCTTTGCATAGCGCCCATTACCATAGTATCTAAGCACATGGATTAATCTGACCCTACTGTCTATTCTTCATACATATACACTGAAATACGAGCTCATCTAAATATGGATAACACTCATACATAGAATCATAGGACTGGAAGGGACCTCAGGAGGTCATTTAGTCCAGTCCCCTCCACTCATGGCAAGATTAAGTATTATCTAGACCACCCCTGACAGATGTTTGTCTAACCTGCTCTTAAAAATCTCCAATGATGGAGGTTCCACAACCTCCCTAGGCAATTTATTCCAGTTCTTAATCACACTGACAGTTAGGAAGTTTTTCCTAATGTCCAACCTAAACCTCCCTTGCTGCAATTTAAGCCCATTGCTTCTTCTCCTATCCTCAGAGGTTAAGGAGAACAATTTGTCTCTCTCCTCCTTGTAACAATCTTTTATGTATTTGAAAACGGTTATCTTGTCCCCTCTGTCTTCTCTTTTCCAGACTAAACAAACAGACTAAACAAAGATTGAAGTTTAGTAAATCTTCCCTCATAGGTCATGTTTTGTAGACCTTTAATCATTTTTGTTGCTCTTCTCTGGACTTTTTCCAATTTGTCCACAACTTTTCTGAAATGTGGGGCCCAGAACTGGACATAATACTCCAGTTGAGGCCTAATCAGCATGGACCAGAGTGAAAAATTACTTCTCATGTCTTGCTTACAACACTCCTGCTAATACATCCCAGAATGATGTTTGCTTTTTTTTGCAACAGTGTTACACTGTTGATTCATATTTAGCTTATGGTCCAATATGATCCCCAAATCCCTTTCCGCAGTACGCCTTCCTAGGCAATCATATCCCATTTTGTATGTGCAACTGATTGTTCCTTCCTCAGTGGAGTACTTTGCATTTGTCCTTATTGAAATTAATCCTGCTAACTTCATACCATTTCTCCAGTTTGTCCAGATCATTTTGAATTTTAATTCTATCCTCCAAAGCATTTGCAACCCCTCCCAGGTTGGTATTGTCTGCAAACTTTATAAGTGTACTCTCTATGCCATTATCTAAATCATTGATGAAGAGACTGAACAGAACTGGATCCAGAACCAATCCCTGAGGGACTCCACTCGTTATGCCCTTCCAGCATGACTGTGAACCACTGATAACTACTCTCTGGGAATGACTTTCCAGCCAGTTATGCACCCACCTTATAGTAGCTCCATCTAGGTTGCATTTCCCTAGTTTGATAATGAGAAGGTCATGCAAGACAGCATCAAAAGTTTTACTAAAGTAAAGATATACTACGTCTACTGCTTCCCCCCATCTACAGGGCTTGTTACCCTGTCAAAGAAAGCTAACAGGTTGATATGACACAATTTGTTCTTGACAAATCCATGCTGACTGTTACTTATCACATTATCTTCTAGATGTTTGCAAATTGATTATTTGCTCCATTATCTTTCCAGGTACAGAAGTTAAGATGACTGGTCTGTAATTCCCTGGGTTGTCCTTATTTCTCTTTTTATAGATTGGCATTATATTCCCTGCTTCATATTTGTTTTTATTCTCTTAACTTCACTGACCCTCTGACTGCAGCAGTTCCTCTTGTTTGACTGTATTATTTTCTTGCACATAGCACAGTAAGTTTTCGATCACAAACACTGCATCAATTATGGCACCAGGGGGACCTTTAATCTCTAATCTTGCTTTTCCATCAACCACTTCTTCCAATATGGATATACCGAAACGCTGCAGATGAGAAAGTTCTGCATGCTCTCTTTTGCTAAGGTTAAAAATGTGATTGTTTTCTATAACAATAAAGTGACTTTCCTGGACTTGCATTATGTCTTCAATCCATATTTTTGCTGCTTCCAGTTTTTCATAGCAGTTCCCAATAAGTTCAATGGCTGGTCCAGTTTTTTGATTCTCTATTTCAGCTTGTCTGTCGGAGCGTGACCCTGTAAGAAGTACAGTTTATACAAGTACAGTCGGTAGACTGAAAAGTTCACAAGTGCTGTCACAAATCTCTATATGCAACCTTCAGACTCTGCACACAAGGAACCTTACTGTCCTTCTGGTACGTTCAGAATGGGGATATTATGACAGACACTAAGGGGTAGATTTTTAAAGATACAAATGGCAGTTGGGCATCTAACTCCCATTAACTTTCAGTTTTGCCTTTGAAAATCTCCCCAAAAGGGCCTAATTCTCATTGATTTAAGTGGGACCAGGATTTGCCCCTAGTAATAATAAATACAGTTCCAATCCAGATGTATAAACATCATTATATTTTGAAGTCAAATTAAATGGTAGTAGTTCTTCTGTGAACCATTTAGAAACTTGTTCTTAATTTTCATGTTTTCCCACATTCTTCTAATGGGTGGTTTAAGCAGAAGTTGCTATTTCAGGAGATACTAGAGATAATGAAATTAAATATTTACACAGACTGAAAATGTTAATGTTGCTTTTAAGTCTCTAGTTAGGACTGTTTTTGTGTTAAGAGAATACATTGTAGTTCTCGGGGGAAAATGAAGGAGAGGACATTGTCCTATTTACAAAGAAGCCCTTTTTTAAAATCCCTGCTGGTGTTTGGCTCTGGATAAATGAGTATCTTTTGCATTTTAAGTACATCTGTGTTCTCCCTGTGTTTTTTTTTTAAAGTAGGATGTAAAATCAATGTGTTTCACTCACACTGGCTTTGCATTGGCTAGCTAGAATATGTTTTAAATGACAACAAACTCAGCTTGATATAAAGAGTCCACTGATGGAAATGGTAAGGGGCTGGAGTGCTGCCCGCAATAATTTGAACACTGGAGACACAATGCAAACACAACTCCCATGTCTGCAAGGAGGGAAGGAATGTTACCCACCACACCATCCTCACCTTCCTTGAACTGAAATTTTACCCTTTGGCGCCAGGGGCCCAGTCACATGAAGTACTTTGTGCCGTCAACTCCCACTGATTGCAGTTGGTAGTGATGGCCCTAACCAAAAGTTGAATAAAACTGTGCTGCAAATTTAAAGTGGTAACTAAAGACAGGGCACTGCCTATTGCGGGTGAGGTTTTTACTGTGTTAATTAACCTTATACAATAAGCTCTGGAACTCTGTAGTAGCTACAATGCACTCAGCCAGGGTCCCCCCCAGGTTTAATTTATTTTTTTTTTAAAGTTAGAGTCAGGTGCACTAAACTTCTGGGCCTGGTTCTAGGAAAACTCTGAGAAAACCCCCCCAACAACTTTTATCACCACCAGGTTGAATAGGGACAGCTGTGTTCATGTCCTCTCAGCAGCTGGCATCTGATAAAGCTGTCTATTATAACCTAGCCGGGTTTTCTCTTAAATCAACTAATTATGATGATTTTCACAAGGACCCCTTTCAGATTAATTAGAAACTACAACACAGGGGACGATTCAGACCTGGATTACGTCTGCTTCCAATAGCATAACCCAGAGATATGTGCAGCAAGGGACACCTTCCCTCTCTCCCTCCCTCAGAGGTGGGGTGTCGCAGTGGGTGAATCAAGCCTCACCATAAAAACCCTAAAAAAGGGTTCTGTTGGTCTTTCTCTTGATTTGAACTGGTTAAAGTTTATTTTTGTTCACTGGATCAGTGACAATTAACTAGGCTGAGGAGGGACCTGGTTAGATAATTTCATGGCCACTAACTAGACTTGTAGCCACAGTATACACAAGGGTGATTAAAACTTGTGCTTCAGGGTCAGAAAGGAACTCCTCTTGCCCCAGAAAAGGCACTGCACAATTATTGGAGCTCAGAAGGGTCATCTTCCTCTGAAGCATCAACTACCCAAAGATTGCTAGGGGAAGCAAGGACCTGAGCCTGGTATGACAAATCCTGTTTGCATAAGCTGGAAAAAAGGTGCCAAAGCATAACAGTTAGAACCTTCTTTATCATACCCATTAGCTCCTTAAATAGAAGAAACTGGGATGCAGGTGATTGATTAGAGAAAATAATTGATAACTGTCATAGTTTAGCTTCCTCCAGTCTGTATTCACAGTTAAGAAATCCTCCTTTTGAGCTACCAAACCCTAAGATCAGTTCTATTCTCAGCATTCACACATAACTCCTGATAACATCAGTGTGAATGCCGTGGGTCTTTCAAGGGGCAAAAGACTGCAAAGTGTCTGAAGAGTTGAATAGTTAGCTCAACAGTTACAGTTTTGTTTACATGAATGAGAATCTGATAAAAGTCAAAAGCAATCTAATTAAATAGTATCATAACACTAAAACAAGTTTTGCAAAACACAACTTTAGAAGAGGTAACACATTTTCCCCATTATACCCAAACCAGTCTTGTCTTTTTCTCCCTCTTATCACCCAGTTTGACAGGCAATGAAACAGAATAAAAAAATTAAATGCAGAGCTCCTATGTGATGGTTTCACCCCCAGATAATAGATGTTTATTAGGAGAATATAATTTTCAGAACCTTATTCATCCTTTGTGCTTCTTACTTACCCAAATAATCCCTTTTGTTGCATTCCGTGTCTTTTATCAGTTTGTTTTTTGCTGAATGTAACTTGGTTTGGAAAGCCTTGAAAAAGAAAGATTTAGAATCAGTTCACAGCCAGCTATGTATCAAACCACTAACAAGTGAACAGAGTCTGTCTCTCCAGATTTCTGTTAGGTAAGCAATTTTAGTCAGTCTGTTTTCATACAGGGCCTAATGGTGGTTTCCTGTGCCAAGCCTGGTTCCAGGGTTTTGTACAGGGACATGGATGGCATCCACTCCAATTCCATCTGCAGGTAGTATGTGGGGAACTCAGGCAGCCAGGCTATGGCAGCTATTACAGCTTATGGGCAGGAGTAGAAGCTGCCCATAAGCTGCTCTCTTCTGCTTGCAGATTTATGCTGATGGATCCATGCTGTGCATTGATGCACTGACTATCCCCCCTACCTAACTCACAGTCACAAAGCTCCTCTCCATGGCCTCATTATGATGTGATTGGAATAACAGAGACTTGGTGGGATAACTCACATGACTGGAGTACTGTCATGGATGGTTACAAAATGTTCAGGAAGGACAGGCAAGGCAGAAAAGGTGGGGGAGTAGCACTGTATGTAAGGGAGCAGTATGACTGCTCAGAGCTCCGGTACGAAACTGCAGAAAAACCTGAGTGTCTCTGGATTAAGTTTAGAAGTGTGAGCAACAAGAGTGATGTAGTGGTGGGAGTCTGCTATAGACCACCGGACCAGGGGGATGAGGTGGATGAGGCTTTCTTCCGGCAGCTCCCGGAAACTACTAGATCGCACGCCCTGGTTCTCATGGGTGACTTTAATTTTCCTGATATCTGCTGGGAGAGCAATACAGCGGTGCATAGACAATCCAGGAAGTTTTTGGAAAGCGTAGGGGACAATTTCCTGGTGCAAGTGCTAGAGGAGTCAACTAGGGGGGAGCTTTTCTTGACCTGCTGCTCACAAACCGGGAAGAATTAGTAGGGGAAGCAAAAGTGGATGGGAATCTGGGAGGCAGTGATCATGAGTTGGTTGAGTTCAGGATCCTGACACAGGGAAGAAAGGTAAGCGGCAGGATACGGACCCTGGACTTCAGGAAAGCAGACTTCGACTCCCTCAGGGAACGGATGGGTAGGATCCCCTGGGGGACTAACATGAAGGGGAAAGGAGTCCAGGAGAGCTGGCTGTATTTCAAGGAATCCCTGTTGAGGTTACAGGGACAAACCATCCCGATGTGTCGAAAGAATAGTAAATATGGCAGGCGACCAGCTTGGCTTAACGGTGAAATCCTAGCGGATCTTAAACATAAAAAAGAAGCTTACAAGAAGTGGAAGGTTGGACATATGACCAGGGAAGAGTATAAAAATATTGCTCGGGCACGTAGGAATGAAATCAGGAGGGCCAAATCGCACCTGGAGCTGCAGCTAGCGAGAGATGTTAAGAGTAACAAGAAAGGTTTCTTCAGGTATGTTGGTAACAAGAAGAAAGCCAAGGAAAGTGTGGGCCTCTTAATGAATGAGGGAGGCAACCTAGTGACAGAGGATGTGGTAAAAGCTAATGTACTCAGTGCTTTTTTTGCTTCTGTCTTCACTAACAAGGTCAGCTCCCAGACTGCTGCGCTGGGCATCACAACAGGGGGAATAGATGGCCAGCCCTCTGTGGAGAAAGAGGTGGTTAGGGACTATTTAGAAAAGCTGGACGTGCACAAGTCCATGGGGCCGGACAAGTTGCATCCGAGAGTGCTAAAGGAACTGGCGGCTGTGATTGCAGAGCCATTGGCCATTATCTTTGAAAACTTGTGGCGAACGGGGGAAGTCCCGGATGACTGGAAAAAGGCTAATGTAGTGCCAATCTTTAAAAAAGGGAAGAAGGAGGATCCTGGGAACTACAGGCCAGTCAGCCTCACTTCAGTCCCTGGAAAAATCATGGAGCAGGTCCTCAAAGAATCAATCCTGAAGCACTTGCATGAGAGGAAAGTGATCAGGAACAGTCAGCATGGATTCACCAAGGGAAGGTCATGCCTGACTAATCTAATTGCCTTCTATGATGAGATTACTGGTTCTGTGGATGAAGGGAAAGCAGTGGATGTATTGTTTCTTGACTTTAGCAAAGCTTTTGACACTGTCTCCCACAGTATTCTTGTCAGCAAGTTAAAGAAGTACAGGCTGGATGAATGCACTATAAGGTGAGTAGAAAGTTGGCTAGATTGTCGGGCTCAACGGGTAGTGATCAATGGCTCCATGTCTAGTTGGCAGCCGGTGTTAAATGGAGTGCCCCAGGGGTCGGTCCTGGGGCTGGGGCCGGTTTTGTTCAATATCTTCATAAATGATCTGGAGGATGGTGTGAATTGCACTCTCAGCAAATTTGCGGATGATACTAAACTGGGAGGAGTGGTAGATATGCTGGAGGGCAGGGATAGGATACAGAGGGACCTGGACAAATTGGAGGATTGGGCCAAAAGAAATCTGATGAGGTTCAATAAGGATAAGTGCAGGGTCCTGCACTTAGGACGGAAGAACCCAATGCACAGCTACAGACTAGGGACCGAATGGCTAGGCAGCAGTTCTGCGGAAAAGGACCTAGGGGTGACAGTGGACGAGAAGCTGGATATGAGTCAGCAGTGTGCCCTTGTTGCCAAGAAGGCCAATGGCACTTTGGGATGTATAAGTAGGGGCATAGCGAGCAGATCGAGGGACGTGATCGTCCCCCTCTGTTCGACATTGGTGAGGCCTCATCTGGAGTACTGTGTCCAGTTTTGGGCCCCACACTACAAGAAGGATGTGGATAAATTGGAAAGAGTCCAGCGAAGGGCAACAAAAATGATTAGGGGTCTGGAACACATGACTTATGAGGAGAGGCTGAGGGAACTGGGATTGTTTAGTCTGCAGAAGAGAAGAATGAGGGGGGATTTGATAGCTACTTTCAACTACCTGAGAGGTGGTTCCAGAGAGGATGGTTCTAGACTATTCTCAGTGGTAGAAGAGGACAGGACAAGGAGTAATGGTCTCAAGTTGCAGTGGGGGAGGTTTAGGTTGGATATTAGGGAAAAACTTTTTCACTAGGAGGGTGGTGAAACACTGGAATGCGTTGCCTAGGGAGGTGGTGGAATCTCCTTCCTTAGAAGTTTTTAAGGTCAGGCTTGACAAAGCCCTGGCTGGGATGATTTAATTGGGGATTGGTCCTGCTTTTGAGCAGGGGGTTGGACTAGATGACCTCCTGAGGTCCCTTCCAACCCTGATATTCTATGATTCTATGTGGAAAGCCACTGAGGTGCACTGCTCTGTGCTGTGCAGTGGGTTTGGGCTTCCTGCAGATTGGCATCCCCTGAGCAGTGAAAATACAACATTCATGTTGTTTTTTAGCCTTGAAGGCCTATGGCGGGGAGAGGACAGGCTTTGGCACGTTAGTGAAACAACTGGCAGTGTGAGCATGTGGTCCAAGGAAACAGAGACAAATTACAACCAAATATAATTTGTCAAGAGTTCTGGCATATGGAAAAATGATAAAAATAATCTTCAGACAAATACAGAAAAAAGTACATTGTAAATTAATACTACACTAGAAAATAAGATTTTACACTGAACTATACTGACAAAAAAGTGAAGAAACTGCACAGCAGGTCTACAGCATAGATGAACAAAAGTCAATTAATTAAAATTGGAAATTCTTATTGTAAATACTTCTAAAACGGAGGGGCAACGTCAGAGTTTACATGCAAGGTGCTGTCAGTTACATGTCAACGAGAGGGTGTAAGTTGGTTCATTTGAACCTAGGAGTCAAAATGGATGTAACCTACACATCAATGGCATGGAAGAGCTGGTGTATCAGGAAAAGCAACTAACTCGAAGGAGGAAGGAGTGGCTACACCTTTTTTCTGTCCTTCAGCATGTAAGTTACACTCACACTCCCTTACACCCAGTTACTGATACCACATTACATTTCACATCCGAATTTGATCGCCTTTCAGAGCAGAAGCAAGAGCATAATGTTACCTTTTTGCCAGTCCACACTTTATTGCTCTGTATGTTACTTTTGCTGCAGTATACAGGCTCACTCCTCACCTGCTGTAGTCAGTGGGAGTTTTGGGTTCAGAGAGAAAACGATCAAACCTTATGTTTTTATAATAAATGGATACCTAACACAGCCATATATAAATCACCTGGGCCAAATTCTCTGCTGGCATAAATTGGTACTGTTCCATTGAAATCACCAACAGAGAATTTGGCCTCCTGTCTACAGCCTTTTCTACCATGGAAGGCCAAGCTCTTTGTGACAAGACATTGCCACGGAAGATGATGTGACAGAATTTGCTAAATGCATTTCCTGTGGTTTAACTTCAGTAGAAAGGCCCCACTAAGTGGGGAGCAGCACCTTCACTGTATGCTCCCTACCAGCCCCAGGACATACACCAGAGGCTTGCTATCCATTTTTACAAATGTTATGTCTAGTTTGGTATATGAAGTACTTTAGCTTGTAGCAATACACAGAAACTTTCTTCATGGCTATTGTGGGTTCTTCTACTAACTTATAGTTAATGCTAAATGTTTTACCTTATAGACATAACTGTCATTTGGATGGATCACAAAATACACATCTGTCTCCTTCCAAGGATGTTCCTTTGCAAAGCTTAAAACTTTGTCAATCATAATATCTGCCACTTCATCATTTGGCAAATTTAACACTCCAGTCCCAATTGCAGGGAAGGAAATTGAGGGAAGCTGATACTCCTGAATCTTAAACAAACATCTTGACATTGCAGTTTTTAGTCCCTGCAGAAAAAAAAAGGAGAGTTTTTAGACCTCACTTTACTTTTTGACCTGAAAAAGAGAAGTGAAAATCCACTGTAACTGAATGTCACCTTGCGTGAATCACTGCTGCTTTGTGAGGACCATACTATGTGGAGCACAGACTTGCAGGCAAGATTGTATCCTTTTGTCAATATGAATTTCTCACAGTATGGAGGAAGTTTTTGTAACTCAAACAGAAATTCCTTCTGAAGAGATAGGCCTGCTTTTTCCAGAATTGCTCTTGAAATGTTTCCTCTTGAGAGATCATCATTCATGACCACAGAATTAACAATAACTGCAGTCTGGAAGAAAAGAACACAAGATCTCAGTATATTTCACTTCAGCTAAATGCATATTTTACCTGCACTGCAGTTAGATCCCCACTTCAAAATGTACCTGTGCAGCTGGTGAAGTTTTTCCTTATTAAAAACACCATCCCATCCAAACGCTCCCCCTTTTAAGGTACATCTTCACTGCATGCTTCTTTTGGCAGTGTGTAGAACACATACCAGCATACCCCCCGCCCCACCTGGGTATAACTAGCAGTGTTGCTGGTGAGGCATGTAGAGTAAAAAACATAGTTGAAGCCTGTGGATATGTACACAAGTATATCCCTTACATGCTTTCTACTCACCCAAGCTGTGCCTCCCTGTCTACACTGGTATTTTTATCTGCTGAAACTTTCCCCCTCTGTCTCCCCCTGCCAGAGCCTTTCATTGACAGGAGTAGCTACACGCCGCAGCAGCCGGTGGAAACAACAGGCTTTTTGATGTGGCGCACAGCTACACGTAGCCTACATGCCACTGACAATGGTGCATAATATAGATGTAGCCTTAGAGTAGTAAGCTCTGCCAGCCACACTAATAGTCCTCGCCATCTTGTGTACTCAGGAGGAATTGCAAAATTATGGCTGCCTTCTGTGCAGGAGCACTGTGGGAGGATGGAAATCCCTGAGCTTTCTCCTTCTGCCCATCACGTACTCCCTAGGGCTGCTATAATTTGGAACTGAATTTGAGAAATGCAAAACTTTTGCTTATGGTATTTTGACCACAGAAATAATAAGTTGAACCTTGCTCTTCTCTGGACTTTCTCCAATTTGTCCACATCTTTCCTGAAATGTGGCGTCCAGAACAGGACACAATATTCCAGTTGAGGCCTAATCAGTGCAGAGTAGAGCGGAAGAATTACGTCTCGTGTCTTGCTTACAACACTCCTGCATGATGTGATAGAAGCTAGGAGAGTAAACTTCTAGGGGATACATGAAAAAAAAGTTAACTATTAAAATACTATATTAAAAAAGTAAATGTTAACATAACTTTATTGTATTGACTGTCCTGACTATCTGTTGTTTTCTCCTGTTCTCTCATAACAGAGCTCACTCACACTTTTCGTAACTCAGTAGTATTATTATAAGAAGAGATCGGGGTATATAATGTATTGGTCCACTGATTCTAATGTTGGGTGGCTAAAGGCAAAAGGACAAGATGCACGTTTACTGGATCAATACAACATGCCTTCTAATCTCCTTGTGTCCAATCCTGCAAGGTGCAGGGATGCAACGCCATACTCAGCACTTCACAAGATCAGGGCTTCATGTGCCATTGGAAAGACTTACTTGCTGATCTTCAATGTGTCCTCTTATGATGTGTAGGCAGAGACCATTGATTGTGATGGAATCTGGAAGCTGGTTTGCTGAAGCTGGTGGAGTCTCCTGCAGTGCGTGGATGTCACTCCTGCCCAGCAACTCTTCACAGGCCTTTCTCATTGCTGTAGCTGTGGATTCAGCAACGTTCACCAAGTGGATTTCTTTGAACCAGCCAAATAATGGAGCCAGCTCAACAAAATTCTTTATAGTCCGTACCATTACATGAGCACATAAATCTAGTGGGAAGCCACAAACTCCTGAGCTCACTGCAGGGATTGCAACAGACTTTATATTATTCTCTGGAGTATTAACATATTTCAGGACATTTATAATGGCTGTCTCAAGCAAGTGACAACATCTCTCACTTTCATTTGCAGACCATCTTGGACCTACTGTGTGGATAACTTTCTTACAAGAAAGCCTGCCTCCGCCTGTCACTGCTATCTGACCAATGGTGAGAGTTCCCTGGCGCTCAATGTAACGTTTACTCCCTTGCTTAATTTCTGGCCCACCAGCTTTCACCAGGGTAAGAGCAAGGCCTCCAATATGGTGCAGATGTTCATGGGCTACATTCACCAAAGCATCAGCATTATGTCTTGTCATATCATCCATCCAAACAGATATCTCAATTCCTTCCTTCAGGCTTTTCCTGTATACTTCAAGGGGACATCTTATAGTCTTAAAGAGAGACATGCAACCAAACTTCTTTTCAATGAGGTCATGTAGACAGCTCTCTCTTCTCATAAGGATTTCATAAACATCTTTACTGATGGGAATTGTTAAATTCTCTTCTGTATCCTTGCTGGACACTAGATAATAAAACAATTTGAAGAGAAATGTAGTAATCCAATGAAAAAACATTTTTAATGCAGACCATATTTTAAAGCTTTCAATCATTTTTTAAATTGAGTTGGGACGATAAAGGAAAATTACTTACTGATCATTCCTTTTGTCATAGTCTTCTCTTCTCCTATTCTACCTTAGAGGCACAGCAAGGACAGACAGTTTTTGGCTCCCTTTACCAGTAAAGCCAGGAGGCAAAGGCCTTACAAGTGAGAGCTTCCTTATAGAAGCCCCAGTCTGGCCCCATTCTTGCCCATGTCAGCTGCCATGACTAACTCTCCTCTTAACCCACAGCCAGGCCAATTCTTTGTCTCCTACATCAAAGTGCAGCCTGTGAGGACTCTGTTGTATGGGCCAATTTACAACTTACACCCTCACCTTTCTTCCAATCAGATGCCATTCCCTGACTTCCCAGGAGAAACTCTTCTTCCTTCCTCTGTCCACGTGAACTTCCTGTTTGGACTCTGGGTCATCCCATTATCCCATCCTTCCAGGCCTTTTCTCTTTCCCTCCCTCCTTCCAATCCTTCCAATCCAATCCAAATCACCACTGATGTGAATTTCAGAGACGTGGGAAGCCCATTTTGATTGTGAAGAACAGAAAAGGCTAAGCATCAATATTCTGGAGCTGCCAGATATCCACCTCATCCTACAAACCTGTGAACACTTTGTTTTCCAGTCCCATGTTCTGACCCAATAAGCTCACTCTTTAGTTCTGCAGCTTCTCAGAGGCCCTTCCTTTTTGTCCACAGCAGAGAGTCCACATTCTCCCTACAAGTTTTAACTTTAAGTAGCGCTGCAGGAGAAGAAAATGGGCCACCATCTCACCGTTTCACATAAGCCATCAAACAGCTTTCAGATCATCATTTTTTTTTATCACAACCCACTGGGAGTGAATCTCAACTAGCAACGTAGAACTGCAAAGGTCTTTATACCATTACAAATCCCCTGAGTTACATAATCCTCCGTATTAGTAGATTTCTATAGAACTACATACAGGAGATCTCTTGTTAACTTCTTTGTGTAAATCCTTACAATTTGCATGAGTTTACCATACTTTTCAGCTGAGCTACAGTATCTAGTTCTCCTCTCAGTTATAGTCTAAAAATAGACTGTCGTGCATCTCATTGTCACTCAGGTGCACTGAATTTAAGCTGTTTTTCATCCAGGCATTTTTTCTTTAGCATACCTGTACTGTACTTTTACAGGTGTGGGGAAATCATGTAAAACTAATTAAGCATAAAATTGACATCCTCGTCCAGGTTGTACATTTTGGTTTGCTTTCAACTAAACCATGTGCATGCTTTCAAGTGTACTTATTTTAGCTGCAGTGAAATTTCAGTTCAAAGAAGAAGGGAATAAATTCATAAATTCTAATTTGCTCCATAAAGTGAAAAGAAAGCTTACCTGAATCGTAATCCTCCTTAGTGGTCTTTGGTGGTGAGATTCTGGCTTCATGATTCACATGGCTTGATTCCAAAGAAAATACATCTGAATCACGCTGTTTTAAGAGTGAGGAACTAGCTTCTCTCTCTGTTCCCACATTTTTCAGAAAAGGAAGGTACTGCTGACCACTTATATTATGGTCTGTCTCAAAGCAACTGACCTGTCCACAGTAAGACAGCAAAGATGTTAACATGCTTTGCCTCTCACTTGATCTCAAAGGAGAACAAGACTCATTTTTGTAATAATTTAAGGACTGACTTGGGCTGTTCTGTATGTTGTCAAGCAATTCTGAATACTGATAATCTCCTTGAATATTGGAGAGCAAAGACTTGGAAAATGAAGCTTGAGGAAAGGTCATGTTGAAGCAGCTCCATTGTTCTTGGGGTGATATGGTTTTCTTGGGTGATTTTGGAGGAATGGAAGAATTTAGGTTGTACAAAGAAGTGATGTCACAAAAATGCTGAAATGAAAGGAACAGACTTAAGGAATGTTTATGGTACAATTCAACACTATACAATCCAAATATGAAAAAAAGTTAAATTAGTTTTCAAGATCTTAAGATATAGATATATTTATCTGTCTGCCCAAAAGAAAAAGTTACCATTTCTCTGGTGGCCTTTCTGCGCTAACAGGGGCATGGAGTATTTCATGCTGTGAGAAGATTTAATGGACAGGGGAGAACCAGATGAAAAGAAGAAGTGTAAAAGGAAAAAGGTGAGGAAACATTTCGTTGTAAAAAGCCCCAAAATTAAGATTAACATGAAAGGAAACATAGGCTCTAGGTCAGGAGTGGGCAAACTTTTTGGCCCGAAGGCCACATCTGGGTATGGAAATTATATGGCAGGCCATGAATGCTCACAAAATTGGGGGTTGGGGTGCGGGAGGATACTCTGGGCTGGGACCAAGGGGTTTGGAGGGTGGGAGAGGGATCAGGGCTGGGTCAGGGGGTTGGGGCGTGGGAGGGTGTCAGGGGTGCAGGCCTACACGGAGGCGCAGCCAGGCGGCTCTGTGCGCTCCCTGTCCTCAGGTGCCACCCCTGCAGCTCCCATTGGCCCACAATGGGAGCTGTGGGGGCGGTGCTTGGGACGGGGGCAGCGAGCGGAGCCCCCTGGCTGCCCCTACGCATAGGAGCCAGAGAGGAGACATGCTGCTGCTTCCAGGAGCTGCATGGAGTGGGGCAAGGCCCTGACCCCTCTCCCCGGAGGGAGCGCCGGAGCAGGGCAAGCCCTGGACTCCGCTCCGCAGCGGGAGCTAGAGGGCCGAATTAAAACTTCTGGAGGGCCAGATGCGGCCCCTGGGCCATAGTTTGCCCACCCCTGCTCTAGGTAATAAAAGACACCTTGTTCTGAACACTCCAGAGAAAACGTTGATGGCTGGGGTATACACTGCCCCTCTTGAGTAACACTTTTAGAAGCCTCCAACACTGATGTAAAGGGGACCCAACTCAATGGTTAAATATTAGTATATATGCCAATTCAGATATGAATAAAAAATACTCTAAAGCAATAAGGACTAATGCAGCTGGCAAGCAATGAAAAAAATATAATAATTTAGTTATCTGATTAGATTTTAAAATATTAGAAAATAGATCTGATTTTAAAATATTAGAAAATATAAACATATAACCTCAGAAACCCTTATTTATTACACAGGCAGCTGGACTGCTAGTAAAATATATAAATTCACTATGTCCAACCTTTAAAACTTTTTCTGGAACCTCAGGCAGGAGTTCCTGAAGTTGGTCAAAAGTTGCCAACAACAGCCACTTCAGTGAAGACCCCTTCTTTAGCAGGAGCTGAGCTACTAGAGGGTTTATACATGGAAAAGTAAGCAAGCACTTCTCTGCCTGGGGGGAAAAAAGTCACTGTCAGCTTCCAAAATGATCCATTTGGGACATTCAGCTTGCTCTGTCATTAGAAGGCAAAGAGAATATCATCTTTATATAATCTCTGGACACAGAATCTGTCACAGAACCACAATTCTGAGCAGGCAGGCCTTGTATACACCACCTAAACATCTATAAATAGAATATCTTTCTAGTGGGGGAACAAATTATGCACAACTGTATGGTAAGAAAGGTGTATAGGAAGATGAAAGTAACAGCTCTATACCTAAGGTTGACAACAATGATCCATTTAATCTGGATTTTCAACACACACTCCAAATGTACTTACTTTGGACCCAAAAAGTCACATGTTTATTCTCAGGTTAGAATAGATTTTTTTTGCCCCAAGTTCAAGGGAAACTGCCCAAGCAGTGTGTTGTACTCTATATAAGGCCCTTCGTTTTCAGGTTTTATTTGGCTTAAAAAGTTCTGGGAATTTAGGGGTAAGCGAGGGGTGCCCAGTACTCATGGGCGGCAGCAGTTGGGAGGTCTGGGCTGCCAGGATCCAGCTGCCTGCCCATCTTGCTCCCCAACTAAGCAGAAGTAGATGGGCCGCGCTGAAGGCCTGGAGTCAGGAGGTGGCTCTGCCCGGCAGGGAAAGCAAATGGGGACTATCACCCAGCTCCCCTGCCAATCATGCTCCCCCACTACACACTGGGCTACCTGGCAGGGAGCCACCTGATAGGGGAGCCCCTCCCTCGGCTGCAGGGGCTCAGCTCCTTTCCCATCTTGTCATCTCACTTCCCCATGCAGATAGGCTGATCCAGCATGTAAATATCTATTCATCAATTATCTGATGAGTAAATAAACAAACTTTTACTATCTTGGGCTCCATACTGCAAGCACGGGACTAGTCCCATTGACTTTAATGGGATAAAATACATACTTATAGTTAAGCGTGTGCTTAACTGCTATGTTGGCTTGGAATCTAAGTGTTCAGAACCCTGCAGGATTCAGCCATTGTTCTGTAATCTGGCCCAGTTTAGTTAGCTTTTAGAATTTGGTGCACAGGATTACAGTGTCACAATAAACAGGATGAGTCTTTTCCAGCCGAGATATTCAGATTGATTTGCTCCCTGGGATATTCTACTGCCTCTTAACACTGAGGGTGAATCCCTCTTCCAGCACAGCTGCTCCTGAAAGCACTGGGGAATGAAAATTGCATCTACTTGTGTCTGTATGGATGATTCAGGCCCATTGTGTTTATATTTGACAACAAAACAATAGAAAACTGGAATAATGAAAACAACCTAGCATTTTAAATTGCTTACAAACAGTAAAAGAACTGCTACACTTAGCACAAAGACAAACAAACCTCAGATGGCAAGATAGAAAGCCAGGATTTGTCCAACCATTCATGAGGATTTGTTTTAGAAGACATCAAAATGTTGTCAGAAATCTGACGAATTAACAATGCTGTCTCTTCAACCCCTGGCACAAGAGCTACCTAAAATAATTTAAAATACTTTAGCTCAAAGGTTATACTTATACATTGGTCTGCAGCAGACAAGAAACTAGAAAACTTAAAGATGGTCCTGAAACCAAAGGCCCATAGTCATTAAAATTGCTCCATGCAAGTGATATGAAGGGCTGTAGCCTCCATCTTCAGCCCTACACACTGGCTCTGGATTACTCAAACTCTATGTAGGTAAAATTAATTTCACTACAACACCTTTTAGAAATGATCAAATATGTAGCTATAACAATACTCCCTTTCAAAAAAGGTAATTCTTGTGAGCCTAAATTTGATATGTTATAGTAAAGTTGTAATAAGTTCCAGGAATTCAGGATATTTAGCATTTTGAATGCCTAAGTAATTTTCTAGTGAATTACTGAACATACACATTGAATTGTACAAGGACAGACTTTCAGATATGTCATTTCCCTATAGCTAATTTGACTAGGATAACTTTGCAGCAGATTTGAATGTATATGTGACAGTAAATCACCTTGTCTTTGCAATTTATTTTATGCATTTATATCAGCTAGTCACACATACTAACTTGATGAATCACAAAAACTTTCCCCTCTTTTTTTAATTTCTACTACTCCAAATATTGGTAAAATTGTTATAGAAAAAAACATTTTTATAAACTTTCTTCTTAGTACACTTAGTACATCCCTCTGCCCCAATTATAAAGTTTGCTGGTATAATGACACCCGTAGAGAAAGCTTTTTTTCTCACTTTTAAAACAATAGATTTGTCTCTGAAGAATCTTGTAAATCACCTTCTTTAGTATCTTTTTACAAACAGTGACATTAACTTTGACTTGTGAGACAAAATGTAAGCCACACCACACTACAAAAACTAAGATAATATAGCTGGGTTCATATACACAATAATGGATTGATAAAATTATGTTTTCTGAGTATTATGACCTCTAGTGGTAAAACACAGCTATTTCTGATTCTTAGTATGAGCCCTATTCAATGTCCATTGAAGTCAATCCGAGCCTCATTCAATAGCAGTGATCATGCTCCTACATCTCATTTTAATCAGGTATTTAAATTTAAAATATTTCATAAGTTTCATTTTGAGTACATGCTTTATCAAATGTTTTGGTAATGGCATAGAGGTGGTTTTATGATACTGAAGTAGACTTATAGACATCTTTACTAAAGAAATTACCTTCACTTCAAAGTCTTCTGATTTCTGTGAAAATGGAACCAAAGCAGCATAAATTAAGGATAGATGATGCAGAGTCTTTCCTGTGAGGCTGTACCTGAAACAGAGTTGCATTATACTCACTATAAATAAACTATACAAGGGGCAGCTTTAGCTTAGGTTCAATTGCACCTACAGAAATCATGAAACTAAGGGTGCTGAACCTGAGTGGTACTGTGACCCTGTGTGCCATGTCATAACACCTGGAGTGGGGCACCAAGCCCAGGCCCAGACCTATAGGACTGTGTTGTTGCTGTGGGGTGAGTGAGGGGCAGGCTTGCTCGCCAGGCCATCACCCCTACCTCCGGGGTTCTCAACTCTGCACCAGGCTGTGGGTATTTATTGGATTATTATCCAATATTATGCTTCCTAATTTTGTTCTTACCAGTATTGTTGAAATAATACATAAATAATAGATCATGCTCTCTTTTGTATTTATTTTTTGTTTTGTTTCATACTGCAATTACACTAGAGTTATTCGCAAAAAGAAAAGGAGTACTTGTGGCACCTTAGAGACGAACCAATTTATTTGAGCATAAGCTTTCGTGAGCTATAGCTCACTTCATTGGATGCAGGAGGTTGCATCCGCCCCTGCACTATACATTACAGATATTTGATAGCTGCATATAATATTTTCAAAATGACAGACAAATTCTTCTGGGACTATGTAGTTTGCCAGCCAGAATTCTGAATATTAACTACAGCTCTGTGAACATTAATTAATAAATAGCTCTGCAAGGAGCAACCGGAATGCAGCTGAATCACTCAATAGGAGAGGCTGCATTGTGAGGGAGAAAAATGATGTCAGTCTTCAGTGCACAATCAGTGCTATGAGGCAACAGCACTGGAAGGAGTGGTAGATACGCTGGAGGGGAGGGATAGGATACAGAAGGACCTAGACAAATTGGAGGATTGGGCCAAAAGAAATCTGATGAGGTTCAATAAGGATAAGTGCAGGGTCCTGCACTTAGGACGGAAGAACCCAATGCACAGCTACAGACTAGGGACCGAATGGCTAGGCAGCAGTTCTGCGGAAAAGGACCTAGGGGTGACAGTGGACGAGAAGCTGGATATGAGTCAGCAGTGTGCCCTTGTTGCCAAGAAGGCCAATGGCATTTTGGGATGTATAAGTAGGGGCATAGCGAGCAGATCGAGGGACGTGATCGTTCCCCTCTATTCGACATTGGTGAGGCCTCATCTGGGGTACTGTGTCCAGTTTTGGGCCCCACACTTCAAGAAGGATGTGGATAAATTGGAGAGAGTCCAGCGAAGGGCAACAAAAATGATTAGGGGTCTGGAACACATGACTTATGAGGAGAGGCTGAGGGAGCTGGGATTGTTTAGCCTGCAGAAGAGAAGAATGAGGGGGGATTTGATAGCTGCTTTCAACTACCTGAAAGGGGGTTCCAAAGAGGATGGCTCTAGACTGTTCTCAATGGTAGCAGATGACAGAACGAGGAGTAATGGTCTCAAGCTGCAGTGGGGGAGGTTTAGATTGGATATTAGGAAAAACTTTTTCACTAAGAGGGTGGTGAAACACTGGAATGCGTTACCTAGGGAGGTGGTAGAATCTCCTTCCTTAGAGGTTTTTAAGGTCAGGCTTGACAAAGCCCTGGCTGGGATGATTTAACTGGGAATTGGTCCTGCTTCGAGCAAGGGGTTGGACTAGATGACCTTCTGGGGTCCCTTCCAACCCTTATATTCTATGATTCTATGAAGGGAACCCAGTTAATAAGGGAAAGAGCCCAAAGAGAAGGTAGCCAGTGCAGGGAGAATGTACTGCTTACCACTAGCTTACAAGAGAAGGCTTATGGGAAGAAAATGGTGGTTACATGAGACAGCAGAATCAGAGATTCAGGAACTACTTATGAACGAGGCAGAGCTTCTGGAGCAAAAGCAGAAGGGTCACTGGAAATGATTGACAGATTTGGAGAATACATGCATAGCTGCCAGGCAGGATATAATGCTGATGCCATGATTAACGGACATGTACTTGTACAACATTAGTTTACTGTAGTGCATTACAATGCGCGGTTCCAATGGTTACTGTTGTCAAGCCAGTACTGTCTCCAGATATGTTGATTTTCCCTTTTTTAATATCAAAGGATGTCTGATCTAAGTATTAACTGCTTAGAAAAGTAAATTTCTTTTTAAAACTGAATGGTTTATCTCTTTTAACATTTTGTTTAACATCTTTTAACATATCTCTTTTAACATTTTGTTAAGTTACTTAGTTCTAGTTGTTAAGGAAAAGTTAGCACATGTGACTCCATTTTGGTTTGGGACCCACCATTGTTTAAATGCCAGCACATCATACACCAGGAGGAGTAATCCTTAGATACTGAATCCCTGTGAAAATCCTCCTCCTTGTCTCCAGCCTGCCTTGACTCCCAGTATCTGGTTTTTGTCAGTCTCTAACTCCCTGTCTCTTGGCCTTGATGTGAGGCCTCCCATCCTGATAATAAAAGTTACTGATGCATGGCTTTAGGACCATGCTATGTAATTAACATACTGGTATAGCACGAGGAATGCACCAAGCAGGGATAGGTGGTAGATAAGACAAGGGTTTGTTTATTGGCTAAGATTTCCGATGCACGAGGGCAACATGCTTTGCTAAAAGGTATATAACCTTTGTATAATCTGCATTCAGGGTCCCCTCCTGGCTAGCAGGGGGGCACCACGCTCGAGCGTAATAAACTTAGTGTCTTTTGGGAACTCTGCAGTTGTGGACTTTATTTCTGTGCCTCAGCCTAGATTCGAACTGTGCGTGACCTATCAGGTGTAATTCGTAGCATTGGTGTGCGTGTCCTACAAGGTGTAATTCGTAGCACTTGTGTGTGTGTCCTATCAGGTGTAATTCGTAGCACTTGTGTGCGTGTCCTACCAGGTGTAATTCGTAACATAGTAAATCATTTTGCATAGTGACAACTCTGCTTTATAATACCATGCTAGTAGAATGAATGTTTAACTTACTCTGAATTCAGTCTCTCTCTGGAATACAAAATGATCCAACAGCAACTGTATTGGAGTGATAGAGCCACCAGTCTTAATATGATATTATCAGAGGATTTCTCATAATTCAGTTCTTCCAAAGTCTACAGCAAAATTAGCACAAAAAAGGTAAAAAAACTGAATATATTTACAAGGCTGCTGTAAGATTTAAAATGTGCATCACTATAATGTAAACTTTACAGTTGAGAAGGAGCCTTATTAAGTGGATAAAGCTCACTGGACTGGAAGCCTGGAAACGTAGATTCTGTTCGGACTTTTATTCTGTGTGAATTTTGGCAAGTCAATTGACCTCACCATGCTTCAGTTTCCCGTGTGTAAAATGGGGATATTTATGTACCGCACAGGTTTGTTCTTAGGCTTACAGAGAACTATAAAAGTGCAAATTATTATTATTAATCTTTACCTTAATCAACCTATATGTATTACACTATGGATGTATTGGATTTATAAAGTACAATGTGGCTAAATACTACGCTGTAGGAGGGTGTAGATGTGTTCTGTTTTCAATATTAATATATGATTTTATACTCAATTTATCTTGCAATATCAGTTTTTTTAGCTGTAGAGTTTCAGTCGTACACTGACTACATGAACAGACATAAGGAATTTTAATAACAAAGTGCATATGATCATGTTCAGTTGTTCAGACCGTAGTGCAGGGCAAAGTCTTCTCTATATAAGTATGTATATCTTGTTTACATGAAAGGAATTAACATGCATATCAATGAGAGGATATAGTCATGTATAACTTGAATTGTTCACTACATATTTTCAATTATACAACTCCTTTTTCAAGTGTGGGGTCTTTAATAATAAATATTCTCAAAATCACTTCAGGGATTTTAGAACAGAACTGATGACAGGGATAATGCAGGTCAACTTTGCAGGTATTCTGTTATCAAGCATAAGTGTAGAAAGAAGATGTAATACAAGATCAATCAGTAAATACCTCAATGACGTAAACAGAATTTTGGATTCATTCAACTATGGAATAACTTCTGGGATGAGAAGCTATTAGCATCTGAAACTGTCATCTCAAGGAAGGGGTTAAGAGGAACAACAAAAATGGCTAGATGGCTGGAGAGACTGGCTTACAAGGAAAGATTAAGGGAGGTAACTGAGTGCGGAATTTGACCATGTTGGTCTAATTTTGTACCTCAATAATTATGGCAGTGCGTTCATCTATTGTTACCACGATGTATCGATCTGTACCTCCAAAGAGCTGTAATGATTCACTGCAACTTCTCTCAACAAAAGTAATATTGTACCTACAGAATTCACAAACTGTCAGTAAATTTCATTTAAGTGAAATGATGAAATCTTCCTAAAAGGAGAGGAATGTTGTTGTGAAGTCCTTTTATTTAATTCTCCAACTCCAATTATATGGATTTTTAATTTCTTGATCTATCTCCTGAACCCCCCAACTATACTTCAATTAAGACATATATATTCAAAGGTCAAAAATCAATATAGTGAGACTTAAATATTTCAATATTTATTCTGTTAGGTTTAATTCCACATTCATTTAATATTACCTTGATGTACTGCCACAGTCTGCACAGGAGGTTGCAGTTTCATGAAACAACATTATGTAATGCGGAGACTGATGTTTATAAGTCAGCAAAACATTCTGATGTTGAGATTTGCAGTGTACCAAAGTCAATCCTTTTAACTTCTTGTTGAGAAGCTATAGCTGTATTACATTGCCTCTGACAGCTAAAAAAGATTTTAGCAACCTGCTACCCTGATTATTAGCCATTCCTTCCTCATTTAGGGCCATATCCCTCCTCTCTACCACTGTGCAGCACAGAGAGACTGAAAGGAGTGAAATTCCCCTCTAGTGGCCCTCAAATTGCCAGAGTGAGGGAAGTGAATCAAAATAGCATCCACACTCCTTGTGTTAGTGAAAGACCCTTTGAATGAACACCACCTGCTCTGGGCTCTGAGCGAGTCAGTTGATTAGAGGGGGAGCCACTCTATGGGGCATCATCCTCAGCAAACACAAGGGAGCTAAAACTGACCCTGCCAGCATTAAGTCACACAAGAAACTTGCACCTTTTCTGATATCCAGTGGAAAAAACGTATGTGTCCAGATATTATCTGTACACTCAGAGGCAGTGTGACTGGTGACCTGCTGTGAAATTCCAGAATTCTTTGAAAAAAGAAAAGGAGTACTTGTGGCACCTTAGAGACTAACCGATTTATCTGAGCATAAGCTTTCGTGAGCTACAGCTCACTTCATCAGATGCATACTGTGGAAAGTGTAGAAGATCTTTTATACACACAAAGCATGAAAAAATACCTCCCCACACCCCACTCTCCTGCTGGTAATAGCTTATCTAAAGTGATCACTCTCCTTACAATGTGTATGATAATCAAGGTGGGCCATTTCCAGCACAAATCCAGGGTTTAACAAGAACGTCTGGGGGGGGAGGTAGGAAAAAACAAGGGGAAATAGGTTACCTTGCATAATGACTCAGCCACTCCCAATGTCTATTCAAGCCTAAGTTAATTGTATCCAATTTGCAAATTAATTCCAATGCAATAGTTTCTCGTTGGAGTCTGGATTTGAAGTTTTTTTGTTGTAATATCACAACTTTCATGTCTGTAATCGCGTGACCAGAGAGATTGAAGTGTTCTCCGACTGGTTTATGAATGTTATAATTCTTGACATCTGATTTGTGTCCATTTATTCTTTTACGTAGAGACTGTCCAGTTTGACCAATGTACTGGCAGAGGGGCATTGCTGGCACATGATGGCATATATCACATTGGTGGATGTGCAGGTGAACGAGCCTCTGATAGTGTGGCTGATGTTATTAGGCCCTGTGATGGTGTCCCCTGAATAGATATGTGGGCACAGTTGGCAACGGGCTTTGTTGCAAGGATAGGTTCCTGGATTAGTGGTTCTGTTGTGTGGTATGTGGTTGCTGGTGAGTATTTGCTTCAGGTTGGGGGGCTGTCTGTAGGCAAGGACTGGCCTGTCTCCCAAGATTTGTGAGAGTGTTGGGTCATCCTTCAGGATAGGTTGTAGATCCTTGATGATGCGTTGGAGAGGTTTTAGTTGGGGGCTGAAGGTGACGGCTAGTGGCGTTCTGTTATTTTTCTTTGTTAGGCCTGTCCTGTAGTAGGTGACTTCTGGGAACTCTTCTGGCTCTATCAATCTGTTTCTTCACTTCCGCAGGTGGGTATTGTAGTTGTAAGAATGCTTGATAGAGATCTTGTAGGTGTTTGTCTCTGTCTGAGGGGTTCGAGCAAATGCGGTTGTATCGCAGAGCTTGGCTGTAGACGATGGAACGTGTGGTGTGGTCAGGGTGAAAGCTGGAGGCATGTAGGTAGGAACAGCGGTCAGTAGGTTTCCGGTATAGGGTGGTGTTTATGTGACCATCGTTTATTAGCACTGTAGTGTCCAGGAAGTGGATCTCTTGTGTGGACTGGACCAGGCTGAGGTTGATGGTGGGATGGAAATTGTTGAAATCATGGTGGAATTCCTCAAGGGCTTCTTTTCTATGGGTCCAGATGATGAAGATGTCATCAATGTAGCGCAAGTAGAGTAGGGGCGTTAGGGGATGAGAGCTGAGGAAACGTTGTTCTAAGTCAGCCATAAAAATGTTGGCATACTGTGGGGCCATGCGGGTACCCATAGCAGTGCCGCTGATCTGAAGGTATACATTGTCCCCAAATGTGAAATAGTTATGGGTAAGGACAAAGTCACAAAGTTCAGCCACCAGGTTAGCCGTGACATTATCGGGGATAGTGTTCTTGACGGCTTGTAGTCCATCTTTGTGTGGAATGTTGGTATAGAGGGCTTCTACATCCATAGTGGCCAGGAAGGTGTTATCAGGAAGATCACCGATGGATTGTAGTTTCCTCAGGAAGTCAGTGGTGTCTCGAAGGTAGCTGGGAGTGCTGGTTGCGTAGGGCCTGAGGAGGGAGTCTACATAGCCAGACAATCCTGCTGTCAGGGTGCCAATGCCTGAGATGATGGGGCGCTCAGGATTTCCAGGTTTATGGATCTTGGGTAGTAGATAGAATATCCCAGGTCGGGGTTCCAGGGGTGTGTCTGTGCGGATTTGATCTTGTGCTTTTTCAGGGAGTTTCTTGAGCAAATGCTGTAGTTTCTTTTGGTAACTCTCAGTGGGATCAGAGGGTAATGGCTTGTAGAAAGTGGTGTTGGAGAGCTGCCGAGCAGCCTCTTGTTCATATTCCGACCTATTCATGATGACAACAGCACCTCTTTTGTCAGCCTTTTTGATTATGATGTCAGAGTTGTTTCTGAGGCTGTGGATGGCATTGTGTTCCGCACGGCTGAGGTTATGGGACAAGTGATGTTGCTTTTCCACAATTTCAGCCCGTGCACGTCGGTGGAAGCACTCTATGTAGAAGTCCAGTCTGCTGTTTCAACCTTCAGGAGGAGTCCACCTAGAATCCTTCTTTTTGTAGTGTTGGTAGGGAGGTCTCTGTGGATTAGTATGTTGTTCAGAGGTATGTTGGAAATATTCCTTGAGTCGGAGACGCCGAAAATAGGATTCTAGGTCACCTCTCCTTCTGCCCCTCCACCCCCACGAACAAGATACAGTTTTTTTTTTACAGATTTTTTTACAAGGAGCACCGGTTTGAAAAGGAATTTTCTTTCCTTTAGGCTGCTGGTAAGCAGGTTTCCAAGTAGTTGGAGGTTTTTTGCTTTGATTTGGGGCCAGAGCAGAGACAAAGGGAATTGTCTTTTTCTGTAGGCTGACAATCACTATCAGAGAATAGGTATCCTATTCCAGCACAGCAAAATTTTACAGCCAAGTTTTGTTTGTTTATTTCTAAACCTCGGGTGTAAAGTTAGTTAAAAACAGAGACGTTAGGATGACAAAATCCACAACTCGACAAAAGCTGGAATTAGCCAGATTTCAGGCTGAGGAAAAACAAAGGGAACATGAAAGACAGATAGAACTCATGCGGCTGGAGAAGGAAAAAGAGAGGAAGCATGTGGAGGAGGAGAGGGAAAAAGAGGAAACATGCACTGGAGATGGAGAAGGTAAAGGCTCAGCAGAATATACCAACAAACCCTAGCAATCCTTCTCCAGGTACCACTCCCCATCCCAGAAAGTTCCCCACCTACAAGGTAGGCGATGATACTGAGGCCTTCCTAGAAAACTTCGAAAGGGCCTGCCTTGGGTACAACATCTCTACTGACCAATACATAGTAGAGCTGAGGCCGCAGCTCAGTGGACCCTTAGCTGAGGTGGCAGCTGAAATGCCTAAAGAACACATGAACAAGTATGAACTGTTTAAATCCAAGGAGAGAGTCAGAATGGGGATAACACCCGAGCAGTCTTCTCGGAGGTTCAGAGCCCTAAGGTTGAAACCAGACGTGTCATTTACCCGACATGCCTACCACATTGTGAAACATTGGGATGCCTGGATATCAGGAGCAAGTGTTGAATCTCCAGTAAATTTGCCCTTCCTAATGCAAATGGAACAATTCTTAGAGGGGGTTCCTGAGGAAATAGAAAGATACATCCTAGATGTAAGCCCAAAACTGTAATCGAGGCAGGAGAGATTGGAGCCAGATGGGTGGAGGTGGCAGAGAAGAAGAAAACTGGTCGCAGTTGGAGCGGAGACCAGAAGGGACAACCCCAGACCACACTCTATTACCGGGGGCCGCCCAAGGCCCCACCTACCTCCCAAAGAACGCTCCAGACACCTCATCGTCCCACCACCCCGTTCTCCAGCAACCCACCTCACCCCAGTGACCCATCAGCTGGACGATGTTTTAAATGTAACGAGCTGGGGCATGTAAAGGCCAACTGCCCCAAGAACCCCAACAGATTACAGTTCATTGCACCGGGATCACACCAGAGGTCCACAGGCCCAGATACCTCCCAGATACCCTTGGAGCAGAGGGAAACTGTGAGTGTGGGCGGGAAGAAGGTCACCGCGTGGAGGGACACCGGAGCACAAGTGTCAGCTATCCATGCTTCCTTAGTGGACTCCAATTTAATCAACCCAGAGATCCAAGTGACGATTCAACCCTTCAAGTCCAACTCTTTCAATTTGCCTACAGCCAAGTTGCCTGTCCAGTACCAGGGCTGGTCAGGAACGTGGACTTTTGCAGTCTATGATGATTATCCCGTCCCCATGCTGTTGGGGGAAGACTTGGCCAATCATGTGAAGCGGGCCAAGAGGGTGGGAATGGTCACCCCTAGCCAGGCTAAACAAGCCGTGAGGCCTAGCTCTGTTCCGGAAACTTCTAGCAGGACCCAGTCAGAGGTAATGG